ATATATATATATATATCAGTATTGGAGTAAAATGGTACTCATATAAAAGTGCTGTTGGTAAAAAAGTTTCACATACCTTACAATCTGCTCCAGAAAATGATAACTCTGAAGCATATTTTTCAAATTTTACGTCATTCGCAATTTTCATTCCAGCTGTATGAATTTGGAAAATTTTCAGTTTTGTTTTTTCATCTGGTTTTGGTAATTCAATTTTCCTGTCAATGCGACCAGGTCGAATAAGTGCTGGATCTAATACATCAATTCGATTAGTAGCCATTATAACCTAAATAATTTTTTTTTATAAAGCACAGACTTTTCAAAAATCTCATTAATGATAATCAGTTATATTGTTCGAGATTATATTTAAAGTGATAACAAGTTAATTTATTTGTAACAACTTTATAAATAAAAAATTCATACAATATATGTCCAATAGCATAATGATTGATCAGTTTAAAATCTAATTTTTAAATGATCTAATGAAAAGAAAATACTGATGATAGTTTTAGCAAATTTTAGCCATAGATAAAAATTTGCTTAGATACTTTTGAATGCAGATTTTACATGCAAAGTACATCAAAGATATCTCAATACAAATCTGTATTAATTTGCTATTTCTGTTTCTTACTTTGTTGTCACATGAAGTTAAAACTGGCCAAAAAGTTTATCAATTGAGTAATTACTTTCACATCGCCACGACTTTCGAATCCATCGAGTTGATTGAGCAATTCAAGCATTGTTCGTTGAACTTCACGTTCACCACCACAAGTTGTGTCGTATCGTTTCGTACCAACTGCATCAATTTCATCAATGAATATAATGCTAGGAGCTGAATCTTTGGCTAATCGAAACAATTCTCTAAAAAGTTAATTTTAGTATGTGCCTGTAAAAAGAGGATTCATATCAATGCATGATAAAGTATGCATGCAACTTACCGAACAAGTTTCGAGCCTTCCCCACTATTTTTTTGGATTAAATCAGCTCCTGTTGCGCGGATAAAAGTTGCCGACGTACTATGTGCTACTGCTTTAGCTAGCAAAGTTTTTCCTGCAAACAAAAAGTTCACTTGTAGCAAAAATTTGTTTTCATACTTTTATATACAGAATAGATGGAAGATATTAACAGTACAAATCGCTTAAAGTTTAATATTTGTGAGAAAAAATAGAATTAACATTAAATAAAGCGAAATTTATGCATTTTAATTTGCATATTTCCTTTAATTGAATGAATTTGTTGGCTGGACTAACTTTAATTTTTAATATATTAGCGGGAATTATTTTTCTTTCATGCGTTTCTTTCAAGTGAAATTGCATAAGCTAATTTTTAAAGAATTTGCAAGCGATGACGATAATATTATTTTATTATTAATGTTTAGTTAATGACTGAGACAAATCGAATCTATCACTGTTCCTTTTAATACTAGTAAATTCGAATTAAAGATGATAGCTGAGATCTTTTAATATTATACTTATTCTAATACTGTGCAAAAAGTTCTTAAAAAGTACTGACAAGTGTTAGAAAATTATGATGGTAAGTATTTCTTAAGTATTATGCTGTTACTAAACCCTGTATTATTTTTTTTCCAGCAATATCTTGATTTCATTTACGTACTTTTTTTAAAGCAAATGATAAAGGCAGTTTACCTGTACCAGGTTCTCCAAACAAAATTACACCTTTTGGTGCTGTAATACCCATATCTTCATAGTATTCAGGATGTATTAAGGGTAGTTCAACAGTTTCTTTGATTTCTTGTATTTGTTCTTCTAACCCACCAATATCCTAAGCATCAAGAATTTAAGCTGAACATATAAACTGAGTCAGAAGTGATTTAATGATAAGACCTTGTTTTCAAGTGCATTTATTGCTATAATATTATTCGTCACCACTAAATCTTTGGATATAACTACTCATGAATTTTTCAGTAGTCATTCTAATAGCTAATTCTTTCAAACTCTATATGCGCAAATTATTCAAAGATCAGTGCCTATACATGGTGATATTAAATTTTTCATTTTTCTAATTTTAAAATGAGATTTGGAGAAATAAAGAGTCATAAACAAACATCAAATGATTCCTTAGGTGGTTTTTCAAGTTTGGTGATGATTGAACTTGAAGTATCAACGCTATCATGAAGAACTCCAACAACCGCAACTGGAACATTTTTTAATGATCCTTGAGCTTTTACCATTACCAACGCACCAATCCGAATTAGATCTTTATCAACGATTGACAATATAGGAATATACCATTCTCGTTTATTACCCTCAATAACTACCACAGCATGCTACAATTATTAGTCTTATCTTTCATTCAATCTTAACAAATTTTAAAAAAGTAAAGAAACTAATCATTTTTGATTATCAAAAAAGTTATCTGCTCTAATTTCAAATGTAGCAAAAAAAGAACAGCAATAAATGTTACAAGACTCATACATCAAAATCAATTATGTTTGAGATCAACTTTTGTGGCAAATTCTATTTGAATTCTGATCAGAATTGATTTGATTTGAATTTAAAAAAAGAAATCGTAATTGTAATTAATTTACTTGCTTATGATTAGAAAAGGATGAAAGTTATTCAAAATAATAGTTGAAAACCTTTTCGTCGAGAAAAAGTTCATGAATTCGAGCCAAAGCAATTGGTGAACCACGCAGTGCATTAACAATTTTACGCTCTTTTTTCTGTTGCTCTCCGATTGAGCCACTTTTACTTTGTCTTTGAATAAATTCTTTCTCCATTAATAAGTAATCTTTCACGCGATTCAGTCGCAATAATTTTAAATAACAATGTTTTCGTGGAATTACTAAAAAATTTAGAGAGAGAAAGTGATAAATAATGCATAGTCTTATTAATTTATTGCTTGTAGAAAATAATTAAAAGCATTAGAAAGTGTGTGGTAAATTTTAAACAGTTAAGATTTTATGAATAGAACAGAACAGAAATCATCCATCACATAACCCGTAGGTAACTTGTTAGCAGCAGCTTCTTGACCACGTTGAAATTTCCGAGCAACTTTCAAAGGTGCATGCTGTGGCATTACCACACCTTTTTTTTCTGGTCTTGATATTTGACCCCCCATGTCCAGTTTTCTTATTTACAGTTACTTCCTTGTTTTATACGAGCAGCTATCCTTTCAGTAATTTCATGTTAGCAAATAAATATAAAATAAAAAACGAATGCAATAGACAAACAATGCCATCTATCATAATTTATTTCCTTTTTATACCATATTCATTCCATTCAAATATGTGACATAATTCAAAAATCTACATACAAGGAATAATAGTACTTTGTCGATTTATAATAAAAAATGCATTAATTACATTCTCTTATTTCACGATTGTCAAGTGTGAAAGCTTGTGAATAACTACATTTTTCTGTTGCGTAACTCAAATTTATGAGAATCTGTAAGCTTTGTGATTTGAGAGAATTTTAAAGCATCTGTTGACAACACGAAGACAAAAATGACGCTAAAAGTGCGATATGAAAGACGTAAGTGACGGAAAATAAGGAAAATGGTAGGAGGAGATACCATGGAACGAACCGTTGTATTGCAACAAATACACTCATTTACTTTTGTTTTTGAATGTTGAAAGTTACTGATCGTCTTTTCAAAATACAAAATGTATTGTTTTTATCTGATGTACTGCTTACTTTCATCAATCGTTGAATGTAAAAATTTCATAAAAACTTATTAGATGTTTAAACGGCTGTAGTAGAATGAAACGTAAATGTAGTACTCACAGCTCAAGTAGTAATAATATTTATTATTATTATTGTCAATATTATTATTGTTATTATTGTTAAGTGAAGAATTTGAGTAAAAATGATTTGTGAGAGTGTTTGGATTAATTTCATAGAGCATTTGAGTATAATAACTTTGTCATGTGATGATAACGAATAATTGAATGGATCAGTACGGCGATTCTTTGCTCAAATATTAATTTATTTATATCACTTTTTGTCACTTTCTGCCTCCCCTTCCTCATCTTTCTTTTCCTAAAATATCAAATATTGCTAACTGATTATAGTAAAATATAATAATTTATGCTCTATATTATAGTACACAATCAAAAATTTATCATATAATTCATTTTCACATACAAAAAACATAACTGTACACTAAATTCCAGCTTTTTATCACTTTTTAAAAAAATTTCTACGTAGCATTTTAGTTTGTAAATTAGTGTGAAATTTAAATTATAATTTTTTGAAAATCACAATGGCATATATATATATATATATATACCTTTGAATACAATTTTATACTTTTTGAACAAAAAATTATCAAATTAGCAATTACATCTTGTAGTTTTATTTATAAAGTAATATAATTTTTACACTTGATAAAAAATAATAGAAAAAAAGATTAAAAAATAAATATCATACAGATGAGGTTTCTTTTTTGTCTGCATTCCCTTCTTTTTTATCCATTTTGTCCTGCTTTTTATCTTCGTTCTCATTCTCTTTCTTTTCTGCTTTGTTTTCGTCTTTCTTTGCTTCTTTCTCCTTGTTTACAATATCTTTTTTCTCCGCCTCTTTTTCTTCATGTACTGGTAACATTTGTGTTGGCATTACTTTCATCTCATCTTTTTTCTCACTTTGTTGAGTCTATAAAAAAGCAAAAGAAAAAAAGAAAAATGAAAAAGAGAAATATGTAAGTGATAAAAATGAAATCACATATTGAAAGGAATATAACAATTAATCAATATGTTTTAGTTAATAATATGAAGTGAAAATTTTCACTTCTAAATTATCATTTAGTAAATAGCATAATTTTTCGTTTCTAAAATTACTTGTATTAATTAAATTATTTATGGTATAATTTAGATAATTATGTAATTAATTAGCTTAGTTATAAAAAATTATACTAACAAACTTGTTGATATCAGCGATATCAAAATGCTAATAATTTATTAAGTATTCATTCTTTGCAGTAATTATTTTGTTTTCAAGTATTTAGCGAATGTTTTAATTTTTAACATCAAACTAAATTATACCATAAATAAATAACTTAATAACTTATTTCAACTGATGTAATTAGTACTGCTTAATTAAATACTAATTTACTACTTGCAAGAAGTGAATTACGAATTGATAGAGTTGAATTAAAATTGACAAACTGTTGCGATATCTCCGGCCTCTTTCTTCACTCGCCGTGAGCTTTCTTTTGATTTTTCTTTCTTGGAGCCATCTTTTGAAGAGCCCTCTTTCTTGGATTCTTCTTTTTTGGACTTTTCCTTTTTCGAGCCTTCTTGTGTCGACTTCTTCTGCTCTTCCTTCTACAATCAAACACTTGGCTGTTTGTTTGATTTTCAGTATATTTTATCAAATACAATTATAGTCACAAATGATTGCTCTCTAAAGTTTAATCCAAGCTTACATGTAAGAAAGATATAAACAGTACGTAAAAAAACTTTTCAACTGTCTTTACCTTGTAAAAAAGTTTTCAAGCTTAAACGTAAGATATAAACAGTACGTGAAGAAAACTCATCAACTGTTTTTATTCTGTGAAAAAGGTTTTTTTTTTTAAAAATCGTAATTTGATATCCAAAAATGATTAAAATTTAAGATATAAAATAATAAATTTAACTTAGCTTTTTCATTACTTTTTCAACCAATATTTGCCTCTCTTTTACTTTTTCTAATTCGACCATTCAAATTTGATCTTTATTTTGCTTTTTACTCCCAACTAACTATTAACAACCTCTTTGCCAGCCTCGCCTACGTTTGCTTTATCATTCATTGACTGTGTCTTTTGTTCTTCCATTGGAGATAGCAAGAGTGTTTGTTGGGCATTGCCAGTAGCACCTTTTTTTCTGAATTTAAATCTCAATCATTCCACTGATATTGTAACTTTAATTGTGTTTTGTTTTATGTATTTTAATTAATAAATGATTACAAATCATATCTTGAATCTGCAAGGCAGTTGCATTCCTTATTATTTATTAAAATATAGTTTAAGAAATTATCCCAACTATCCTTTTGAGTATCTTAGCATTTGGGTAAGTGAATCAAATTTAGATGAATCAGCTCATCATATAATACAGTAATTCCAGATGTTTTTTTAGCATTCACTTGTTATGACATTACAGTATTTAATTATCAGAATGTGATGAGAAGAGTTTTCTGACAAGTGATCAAGTATTAATTAGATCAGTTCTTCCTACAAAATGTTACTAACAACTCAATCTTGTCTGCAATATGAAATTATTTATTATCATTTGTCAGTTACTGCTGTATAATTTTGGCATCTCATTAAATGTGCTGCAATCAATGAAATATTATTGTAATTGCTTTGATTACATATTGTATGTCGAACTATTTTTAATTTTCAATAAATTCATAACTGTAAAAATCTCGATTTTGGATGTTGTCGCATTGTCTTAAGGCATGTAAACTTTTTGACTTTAGAAATTATCTTATTTGTAAGTGCTTTGTAAAAGTGTTCATTAATGAAAAATTATAACGCAATGCAGATGAAGGTTTTATGTTTTATTTGCGAAAATTTTTTAAATAAAAAATGAAACGATGACTTTTTTGATCCACACTGTATCATAATGACCAGTAGAAGAAGAGCAGCTGAAGCTAAGTTAAGCATGGAAAGAGCGAACATTGAGCTGAATTTCGGTACATGAATCATATTCCAGTGTATATCTTTCAATTTTAAAAAGAGTCGGATTCGGTATGCGTTGTCCTTTTTTCTTAAAAAATTTATTATCAAAAATGGATTATTCTAGAAGAAAATATCAGATTTGAGTCAAAATTTACTAAATAGAATACTGCAAACGTACTTAAAATCGTTAAATCTGTTGGCTCAACTATAGCGTAATTTTAGTTAGTAACCAAATTTCTTACGTTCGCAATCAGAAAGACAAAGTTTAAATCTTCAACCGCCTGATGTATATAATGAAAACCTGCAATAAAATTGTATTCAGTTGAATTATGTTTAAATAAACCAGTCGTTATGTTGCATAATTTTGAAGTGATTAGTTTGCAAAAAACATTATAATATTAAACAGGTTGCGATTATTTTATTTATTATTTCATTCAGTCTAACCCATCAGATTGAAATAACAAATGAGCAAACTGAAGCTTTCTTTTCAGCATAATGTATGAAATTAAGTTATTCTAATCACACTTTGAAACTTCGAGCATCAATTACAATGCAGAACCTGCATACCAATACGACGTGTAAACAAAATTTTAAACTTATTAGTGCTATCAATTTTCACAGTAATACCTGTTTCTTTACATAAAATATTCATTCTATTTAGAAGCAAACAAAAAAATTCCAACGCTTTTAAGTAAAGCCGAAAATTTTTTAGAAAATAGAGAATAAATTTCAAATCCAATAGATTGAAATAACAAATGAGCTGATTTTTGGAGGTCAAATAAAAAACAAAACTTTCAATGCAAATCTTCCATTTGGCTTATTACAAAGTGTAAAGTCATGTAATATTGTTCAGGGATTCATTCATCGATGAAGGAAATATGGGCAACTTATTCAATAAGTATTTAATTTAAAAACAGTAATGCACTCATCTCTTTACTAGTACATTGCAAGAAAGTATTAATGAAAAAAAAATTTGCATAAGACAAAAAATAATTTGCATATATTGATTATGTGCACTTTCATTGTTATTCTGACTATATATTTGTACGGTCGTAAACAGTTTTTCAGTCTTAGTCGAAGCTTTACATTCTAGCCGCTTAGCAGAGGATAGACAGGAGCAATAATGGAGGGGAAGAAAGTAAACTTCTCTAGAGCTTTCGAAGAAGTAAGTTTCATGGAATATTTTAAGTCGAACCAAAGCTCATGAAATTATTACAGGTATTCGTAAAAACAGGTTCTGCAAATGTAAATAAAATCTTTGAAATTTGTTGCCAATTTTATTTTTTGTACATTAAAAAATAAATCTGTAAGGAATAAAAACATTACATTAGCATTATTAATATTAAAAAATTATTTTGGAATATTAATTTGGCTACGATCAAAGGCGTTATTAACATTTGCTATCTCATTTTCTTCTGAAATCTAAACTCTTAGTTCTCTCTAAACAAGCAAACGTAGAATAATAAATCCACTTTGTTCTATAATAATAATTGAAGGTATCACTTCCATATTAGAAATCAAAGTAAGTCTGTCAGTTCAGTATTACTTGCATCAGTCTGAATCTCAAACTAAACTAATTACAAGATAGAATTTTAGAATTTATAACTAAATTTATGAAAAATCAAGGTTTGAGCGGGAAGCAATTGTTTTTTATATGAATAGCTTGCCATGCTGAATTTTTTTTTAATTCTAAAAGTTTTGAATTCCAAAACTTGTAAAAAATACATAGACTGGTATTAAAAAAATAAATTGAAAGAGCAAGTCTTATATTTTTATATTTCCAGGTTAGTAGAGGTGAAGAAAATTCACAACTATTCATCCACAGTGATGAAGGTAGCCTTCAATAACTTGCATTTTGTAATTATTTATTTATTTTTTTGCATTTAAATATTTGCATAAAGGTTAATTAAGTACAATCAAAATCCAATCAATCAAATGATAAAACTTTTTTGAATGAAAATTAATGCAGAAAATAATCTTAGATGCTTTTCCAAACTACTTCGAAAACGGACTTGGCTTAGATGAGATTAACGATACAAATTGTGAAGAAATTCAGTTTCAGTATGATTTTCGACTTCATCAAGAAAGTGTGAAGGTTAATTTATACTTGTTAAGCTTGAAAATGCTAAAGAAATAAAATTACTTTATATTTAACATTTTTCATCACTTTTAGGCTATGATCGATTTAGGTGGTAACCTTCAGTCTTTCATACCAATGATTACCTACCATAAGCATGTTTGGTGGTATTATGGTTACAAATTACAGCTTGAAAAAGGTATTGTTTTATTATGTACAGAAATTTAACATCAATATAGTACTATTTTTAGAATTGTCATTTACGGATTCATAACTTGCAAATATCTATGGCAGAAGTAAAACTATTTTGTACTTATGAAGCGAACATTAACAATTTTTATTTTTATTGAACAGAAATCTAATTTTGTTTTATTCATGACAGTCATTTATCAAAGTTTTCAACAGACATGAGCTTGTCACTGCTTCTGAAGAGCTTAGGACCTACAGCACGACCTGATAAGGAAGTTCCTCGAGGAGCGATTGGCAATAATGTGCCACGTAATCAATTACCACCACCTGGCAACAGCGTTCACGTGTTGCTTGCTGTCAAAAAAGATGGAAATTTGCAAGCAATTGTGGAAAGTAAACATTCTAATATCTGATACATTTACAAAGTTAAGAAAGTAAATATATATTATGTAATGAACTTGACACCAATATGGAATTATTTTAAGATTTATCATCTATAAATTTGTATCTATTTTGTTGATAATTTCAGAAAATCTTTACGACATTGGTAATGCTGATGGCTACATCTGTAGTGAACTGATTAGCTTAGTTAAGCTTCATGAAATTATTAAGACTAATGAGTTCATCATTTTACGCGTTTCCATCAATATTAGTAAAACGTACTTCAACATCAAAAAGCTAATCAACTCAAATATTACCTCAGCAATAAAGTATGTTTTTATCAATTTTGATAAATAATAAATCGATTATAATTTGCTTAATTTAAGGATAATTATTCTTTCTACAGCAAAATGAATTTTAAAAGTTTTCAAAATTAATTATTTGAAAAATACATACTTAAACAATGCTGTAAATTTAAAAAGCTGCCTTCAATAATGAAACGAAAGAAATCACAGTACAAGTTAAAATGCTGTATGACTAAATCTTATAGTAATCAGAAAAATGGTACAGGCAAAAACGAAAGTAATTATGATACTGCCTCAAAATTTTACAGCAACTGCCTTTCTTATTATATATATATATATATATATAAATTATTCATTTAAGAAAAAACTTCGTAACGCTAAATAACCCTAAACAAAAATTCGTTGTCGATAAGAAAAAATATGTTTGTAAAACAAATATGAATGTATATTATTTTTCTAAGTCATATTTGTAGAAAAAAAGCGACTTCTGAAGAAATGAATTTGCTAGAAATGGTTCTGAAACAAGAGAAGACCCCTTCTTCAGATTTCGTTTTTACACGAGGTAAAAGAAGCAAAATTAGCATAAATTGGTTGCATGAAATAAAAGTATTTGAAGCTATTTATTTAGTGCTAAATTAAGATTCTACAATTGTATGTGAAAATATTGAAATTTCTCAAAAACGTTTATCAAAGTAGCTATGAATTATTAAAAATGAGATATTGCACATTTGTATTTATTAAATTTGAATACAGAAAAAAATTATTTAATAGTAAATTTAAGATATTCGTAAAATATTCATTTTAATTGTTTTTAAATTTAAGATATCCGTTTTGATCAAAAATAATTATTTTCTCTAATTATTATATTATTATTGATATTATTAATGTTTTATGAAATTTGCACAATTTCTTCACTTAGGAAGTGGTGAAAATAACGATGCAACATCTTATCATGTCCATAAAAATATCATCAAACGACGATCATTTGTGCTGAAAGGCATTTTTAGACAAAAATATTCACTTCCAACTGATCAGTTACTTGTAGTTCACACTGAGGATCGCATTATTTTTCCATACTTGATCGATGATGATATGGATTTTGTCTGTTAATTCCTAAAAATTTTTATTAATTATTTATTAGTCTTTTTTTTGAATTATAATTTAGTAAATAATCCATCCAAATTTGCTACATAGTAAAAGCAATATTTCAGCTCTTAACTTATTTATACACTGGAAAAGTGATTTTACCCAAATTTAATGGTTTTGCTCGAGTTGGACGTGTAATTTCGTTTTTGATTAGTCCTGAGCAGCTGGTTGAAATTTTCATGCAATGGGAATATTTAATTGTAATGAATCTTCTTGAAATTGAAAAGGTTAAATTTATGGATGTAATTTATGATAATTTGTGCATTATTTTTCAACGTTATTAATAAACAATGAAATAATTTTAAAAAATAATATTAATTTCAAATTTTGATCTTACTTTTGATAGAAATAAACACTTTTAAATTTTGTAACATTTTTTAAATAACTTTGAATTAAAATTCTAATTTATTACTGATTGGAATCCTTAATTTTATTCATTTTCAGTTTTAATTACTTAATTACTTTAATTACTTATACAGAAAAGCAATTTTAGCAAAATAACAGTAATGATATTGTCGAAGAAAGTTTTAAAGCACTGATTTCGGTGTACAGTGCACCTTATGGAGCGTTGCCCCATGCTAAGCGAATGGCAATGTCTCTATTAGCTGATCAGGTTGTTTTCAATCATTTTTGTAACTTGAAAAGTTTTTATTAAAAATATTTAAATTTAAATATAAAACCTTTTTCAGCTTACAAAGACTAACGAAAACTTGGAAAAATATGGCGAAAATTCAAATTATGGCAGATACAAAATTGGACATTTTATGGATAGCGCATTGAAATTGAAACGTTTTATTTGTTCAATTAAAAAAATGCCATATTTTATGTAATATTTTATTTGATACTTGTGAATTAATTTTTTTCTTCAATAAATAATATTGTCAATATAATTTATGTGCTCTCACATCTTATAAAACAAGTTGGCAAAGCAAAGGTCATACATCTATTAAAGATTATGTAGAAACAAGCAAAGATTAACTTATTACTGTAAATTAATTATTGAGTGGTATTTGGAACACATCTGTTATATTTTACTAAATTTAAAATTTTTGAATTTAGGTAAGAGACATTCTAAAAATATTATGTTTCACAAATACTACTATTTTTTGTGAATAATTTTTTAATAAAAAGATTACAAGGTGGAGGATGGATTTAAAATAAAAATGTTATTGATAAACTAGAATGCTAAATTAGCAAATCTTTGTGAACAAATGAAAATTTGCATATCAAAGAAAGTATAAATTAACCAAAATACTACTTGTGGAATCAGTTTATTATTGTTTGCTGCGAAAGATAATGTTAATCAAAGAATAGTAACGATGGACTCATCTAGCATTCCAAATGACACAAGACTTGTGCAATTTCCAGAAGGAAAGGTGAGCACTTCGAATTTATCCACAAAATAATTTCATTTTAGTTTATTCAACTCTGTTTCAATTTTGATTTCCTTTTACATTTATAGCAAACTAATTTAAACTATTTTAGCTTCTTATTTTTAATTTGAAGTCTAATCTTATGCTATTTTTTAAGACTTATTTTATTTCAAATTATATGCATAATTACTTTACAATTAATGTTCAAAAAAAGAATGAAAACTTAAAATAAATGTGACACGACATGTAACAGACTTTGCATTGCAGATAAATAAAGAAATACAGTGATAGTTTTGTAGGTCATTGGTGCACGTTGGATCGTAAAGAAGATTTTAGGAAGTGGTTCTTATGGTACTGTTTATGAGGTACAAAACGTGAAGAATCCTTTAATTAATGGAGCACTTAAAGTAAATAGCGTATCATATTTGGAAATGAACCAATTTAATGAAGTCAAGTGCTCCGATTACTTCTAAATTTATTATCATATATGATCACTTTTAGTTAATCATAAGATTGAAGACTGATTAATTGTAACAATTATTCAACTAATATTTTGACTAATGAGATGAATAATGAGGATAATAATTTTAATAAATAGAATTATCTGAAATAAAACTATAAAAAATGCAGGCGGAATCAAACTCTGCAAGTAACAGTATCTTAAAATTAGAAGTTGAAGTATTGAAGCAGCTACAAAAACGTAAATATACCGTTCGTCTATTACATTCAGCGAAAAGAGAAACTTATAGGTTTATTATTCAATACTTAATCTTACTCAATGAATTTCAGGCGAAAATTTTCGAATTTTTGAGTCAATTATTAAGAATCAAATCAATGACCTGATTTCTACAACGGATTAATTAACTTATTCATTCATTAGATGAAAAATTTTGACGGTTTACTTTCTATTTTAGTTACATGGTAATGACATTGTGTGGTCCTGATTTATTCACGTTAAAACACACAAACAAATTAGTGACATTTAGCGAAAGCACTATACTTCGAATTGCAATTTTAAGTTTATATGCAATAAAGCAGGTCTAAACTGGCATATTTAAATTTTCCTTAATAGGCAGATATAAATTTGCATATTCAAAATCATGTAACATTTACAAATTTAAGTACAAAATTAAATTTATATTTGTTACATGACAAAAAAAGAAGGGAAAAATCACAACCTTATGATTTTTAGAAATATTGTGACAGCAGCTTTGAAAAATATAGTAAATTGACTGGAAGACTGAAGAAAATTCTTCTCTTAGCATTTCCATAATATTTATAATTACTTTTAAACACTATTTAAAAGATTATCGATTATCCAGTATATTTTTAATTATTTTTAAACACTACTTAAAACACTATTCAGTAAATTTTGAAAATGTATACTGTAATATTTTTAAACACTATTTAAAAGTTCACCCAATAAATTTTATTTTTGTTCTAAAAATTGGATTTGTTTTTCAGTTGCACGAAGTTGGTTATGTTCATCGTGACATCAAACCCAGTAATATAGCAATTTCTCCTTCAATTAATTGTCGTCACATTTTATATTTATTGGATTATGGAATGGTGAGGAGGTATGCAATTTACAGTGATAAACAGTGGCTTATCAGACCTCCAAGGAAGCGGGTTCGTTTAATTTTGAACGTATTAAGAATAAAAAATAAATTATAATAATAATAATTTTAATAATTATAATTTTTGCATTGAACAATTAATTTCGATTCTATTAATTATTATTATCTTTTTCGGCAAATTAATTTGCAGGCAAGAAAGTATTTGCTACTTTACGAATGCAATCAAGAAAAATTGATGGTTGTTTTACAGGTATTATTACGTGGAACTCTTCGATATTGTTCGATTAATACTCATAGACGCCAAGAACAGGTTTCAAGAGTTAATAAATCTTTAACAAATACTCCAACTGTTTATCACTGTAAACTGCATACCTCCTCACCATTCCATAATACAATAAATATAAAATCTACATTGTTGTTATACAAAATAACCAATTGAAATACAATATTTATGCATAATTTTACATTTACATTCGAAATAATTGACTATAAAGTAATTTTGAATTTGAATTTTATAGCGCCGGTATTCGTCATGAGTTTTTATTGTGCAGTATCGTCAACCGTAAATAGTCATATTTATTTCTACTCAATTCATCAGCACTATTAATAAACTTAAAGTGAAAATAATACGTACAATTAATATTGTATTTAGTTTTAGGGACGTGTTGATGATTTATGGTCATTGATGTATATGTTGGTTGACTTGCGTGCTAATTACTTACCATGGGGTAGAGCAGCACGTGAAGATCGTATACTTTATCTGAAAGAATCGATTTCCGATCAAGAACTTTTATCTAGTGGAAATTTAAAATTTTATACGAAAATTCTAGCACACCTTCGTAAATTACAATATCCAGATAGGCCAGATTATCTTCTTATGTACAAATTGGTAATTTTGAAATTGACTTATTATATGAATGGCATAACTTAAATACCAAAAATTATACTGAAATGCTGTAGGAGTTAAAAAAGAATAGTTGAATGAATTTCTTTATTAATATTTTTTGTTCAATATAATTTTTTAGTTCTATGAATTTGAATAATAAATTGATTAATTATTAAAGATGATTTCGCCAATTATGAGAAAACAACATTTATTCGATGAGCCGTACGACTGGGAAAATGTAGCAGAACGTGTAACACAAGAAGATTCATTTCAACGTAAGCTATCTCGTACTTCATCTTCAAGGTCTGCTAGTGGACGATTAAAAAGTATTCTTTTAAATTTTGTAAAAGCTGTATTACTACAATTTAGATTACTATTAGATTAGATAGACTAGAATGCTTATAAGAAGTGTAATAAGCAGAAGCTGCCGATTCATTACTTCTACTGCATCTCTTTTGATTTGATTTTTAGTGCCAAACAAAATCCAACGATAAAAGTGTTATTATGAGATTACTAAATGCAACAATTCGATATCAGTGATAAATCTTTTTCAAGTTATTTTCAAGTTGCAATATCTGATATTACAAGAACTAACTGCGTGTTAATAAAAGTAAGACTACACACATTTTTGACTGTTTGATCTAACTTTAATCTAATTTCAAAGCTATAGACAACAGTCACTCAATACCAGATGACATTCCAATAGCACAGGAGAAAGCATTTTCTGAGGGTAAAAATGATGTGCCCGATATAATGAAAACTTCATATCACGCTAGTCGACGAAGATCTGATCGTGATCGACAAAACCAAGAAGAGAGTAATGGTGATCTACCTTGAATCATTTGTAGTTCTTTTTCTACAAATTCTTGTCAAGCTACAGTGCTTTTGTTATTATTCATTTTGATTAATTCATGTTTGAGGAATAAATTTTTCCACCTGCTCCGCTCTACCACACATATGCTAATAAAAATCTGCTTAGCAGAAACATAACTAGAAACTTCTGACAAATTTTTGACAAGATCACAAATAAGAAGTGCAGGCACCTTTTATAAGCAATGAACTTGCTCACTTTTGATCAAATAACAATGCAAACGATTGTGTAGAGGATTTTTTGCTTATACTGAGAGCAGCCGAATATTTAGCTGCAAATAGCTAGCACGTAGAAGAAGAGCTAATTTGCTACCACTTTCCTACGCTCTTTCTCGTCCAGAATCACAAAGTTTGTCTGCATGAACATTTATGCATTAAAAAGCACAACAAGGTAAACAAGGACAATATTAATGACAAACACAATTCACCACACATTAAATATGATTTCATACACTTTTGTATTCAGCAATAATATATGCTTCATTACCGCAACATAATTTCCGAAAGTGACTAAACATGAACTGCGAAGTAAAATGCTTCTGTTAAATCAAGTAGTAAACAACCTGAAGAGTTAAAAGGATAACGCAAACACTAACAACAGAAAAAATTTTGTAAAAAAAAAGCATATTTCCTTCTTTTTGTTTAAGTAATATCAAACCAAGTAAGTCAGTCAGTACGAACACAAATACTAACTAACAACGAATGAGTGATACCCACTAACCGAAAATTGTGCAGTTATACCGAAACTATGTGCAAAATTTACAACAAGAAAATGCTAACTATTGAATAAATTTCATGTATTCTCTTCAACAGCATGGCCTTCTTCTAGAATTTTTTCAAATGAAAAAGGAATGAACGCATAGCCAAGTCCTTTATAGAATTTGCTTTGGAATTCAACCCTAAAAAATAAAATAATTTTAAAACAACAAATTCGAAGATATTATAAATATAAAAGATAATTTTATAAAGATAATTTATAAAAATAACTGAAAACAAAATTAGTAATACTAAAGCAATACCATTAGCTACATAGCCTGTCTCTTGGCAGAGAAGATAAATCATAAAAAGTTCATGTTATACAAAAAAGACAGTACTGCTATTCCGTAACTATCTAAAAAATTTGAAGGAACGCACCAGTGGAGACGAAGAGCATGAAGAAAAGCACTCAGACCTTCCATTAAGACTAGAATCGAGAAAGAAAGAAACGCGAAAACGAAGAACAAAGTGTATGTCGCTACCGCTCCCAAGTAACCATTCAACATAAAAGCCTGTCGGAAAACCATTGTCCACAAAACATCAGACAATTCTAAAAAATATGCAAGCTAGCCGCGAACTGAGGAATTTCATTCCTGATAAAAAATATTAAAAAATAGTGATTGTCACATTTTTCTTTTCTCACATTTTGACAAATCACAGCTCTCATTTTCCTAATAATTAAAGAACATTTTTTAGTCCCTTACCTTACGTAAATTTATGAATCTTGCGACTTCAGAAAGCTCTTTCTACGAAAAAATCAAATAATTACTTGCTTAAATGATTGCTTAAGTACACAAACAGATTTTAAATGTATTAGAACAAGAATTCGACTTCTCAAATACAAAAGCATACGGGCATGAGCAAGTGATAATGCCCAAAGTCGAAGATATGAAGCAGTATGTGATATGCAACCGAGAGCAAATTCAATGGTATGAATTGCTTGATAAACCATAATATCAGCAAAATCAAACTGAAATACAAAACATTGTTAAAAGCTTCTGCATTTAATTTATTATATATACAAAACCATTGCTCTGAAATTTAGAATGAAAGAATGCGTACTTTTTCTTCCGTACTTGAAACTGTTGGCCTCGGAGAGTCATTATGGATTACTTGTGCATTGTCTCCATTTGCATCCACGTGAACACTCTAAAAAAATAATTACATTTAATAATTGTCATGCAGTGCACATACAAAAATCAGCATGATTAGTAAATAGCATAAAACAAACTATTCAATAAAGCATGCGTAAAAATTATAACAATAACAATACAAACAGTAGTAATTCTCGCAATGATATATATTAAATTTTCAACAGAATAATAAATACGGAATTTATTGAATCGTGCAGGAAATGACTGAACTAAGTGCCGCTCAGCGATAAGCAACTTCTCACTGTTTTAGAAAATTCTCATTCTTTCGATAGCATTCAGTACTTTTTGAAAGTTTTAAACGACTGCGCATTGGGAAACTGAATGAGAAAGAAAGCAACAGATTTAATTTGTCACAAAAATGACCGATTTATTCGATCGGTTGTTGTTCTGCAACAAAGTATTCAACTGACTGCGATGTTCCTTATACAATGCGTATGGCTTTGCTGTCAGCATGAGCGGCACTTGAATCATTGCCACCAACACAAGAACCATTTCGATTATACCCTAAAAGCACACACAACCACAACCACATGCTACTAAGCCTTAACGCAAATACCAGTCTAATCTAGTTGAAAGTATCTCTAAAGATGTGATTGAATCCCCCACGCCCATAATTCTAAATCTATTTCCAGAATGAATGCAGCAAAAATACATCAGAATAAATAAAACAGAATTTCTTAACTTTCAACCAGTCAAAACAGTATTTGCGTTTCTAACACTTAATATAAAAATTTTCGAACCAAATGATAAATGCCCATTGCAGTTCGCTGCTTGTACTCCTTCCACTGTACATATGGCTTACCGAATAACATAACCGGTATGCAGGCTCCAGCAACTAACACGAGTAATGTTTCAAAGAATGACTAAAACTATTGAAGCAACGACTACATAAAATAAATATCAAAGTTGTACAGATTTTGAAAGTGTTTCCTAATGCTTTTAAAAGTTGAAACGACATTTAACGAGCTTCCACTTCCCTTTTTTTTTCTATTCACTACATAAACTTTAGTCAACTCAATTAAATACACCTCAATCTAAACTACAGTAATGAATATTAATATCCGAAAAATAAAACAATGCAAGAACTAACCTGACCAGGGTACCAGAGATTTAGATAACATTGTGGATAAACATTGCCTTTACTATCGACAAATCCAGAAGGACGACTCTTCATCATAAACATTCCAATAAGCCCGATAAGTAGCGAAGGAGCGCAGTTCGATGATGGATATTCATAACCAAGAACATATCCACTCTGAAACACTCATTACAAAATTGGCTATTGCTAATAGTGATCTATAATAAACTCTTAAGCATTTAAAAATTGAATAAAGAACACACTTTAATATATAAGATGAAAATGTGTGAAAAAATTTCACATCACAGTTGCTGACTGTTATGCATAATTTTGAAATTAGAGATTTGCAATATATCAACAAAAAAATGCACCGTTGTAATCCTCTAAACTATATTTGTGATGCTTTGATACTAACCTCAGCAGAAAAGAGCAACCACTTAAATATAATTTGTAAGCAGAGATACATAAAAATAGAACTGAGAAATAGCATTTGAGGAATGAACATATATAGGATATCCAATCGAGAATTAAAATATCTGCAACCCACAACTGTGATATTTTTAATTTGCAAACACAGGCAATTCTATTTTGCATTAGTTAACGATTTAAATCAAATCATCTTAACCATAACGCGATTATAATCTTTTAAATAATGAAAAATACAAAACTGCAAGAATCAAAATTGCATTTTTCCGGTTCAGATAATTATTTTGTGTGAAAATTTCACAGATTGATTGAATTTTATTAATGATTTACTTGAAATTCTCGTAGCTCAACAGAACGCCAAATGTCATTTGAGCAATGCCAATAATGATTGACATTTTCATTTTCATGGAATTCAAAAAGCTTAATTTGTTACTCTCAGCCAGATTCCAAATAGGGTCAACTCCCATCGGATATGGACCACTTGACTGAAGCAAATAAGCATGAATAAAGAAGGTAAGACAAAAATTAGCATTATCGAAAAGTTTAGAGAGTTTGAAGATTATGCAAACAAACTAGAGAAAAATTATTTGAAAACATAATCTGACCACATTGTAATAAGCCCATTGTGGCGTAAGCATGAGTTCTTGTTCAGGTTCGAATTTGCTTAAATCTGCATAAATATTCCGCCATGAACTTCCAAAAAAATTGAAAGATTTGCTATATGCATCATTGTAAATGAGTCCCGTGTAAATCGAAAAGCAACCCATCAAAAATACTAGGTACCGGCCGTTGAAAAATATTTGGAAAATCTACAAACAGTTAACAATAACTAATTAAGAACAAAGTTTCTAGCAAAACTTTTTGATATCTAGGTCGTACTTTTGTCATATAATTTGTGTTACATCAGATAAATTTCAAAACCAACATGCATTGCAAATGTTGTGAAAATATTTCCTCTTAATTTTTCTTTGTTAATACCTTACACTAAATAAGTAATTATATGATCTGAAAAATACCAAGAAAACTACATACTTCATTACTTATTCGGGCTGCTTCAAGTTGTTTTTCTCTATATATAAAGAAGAGAGCACATAAAAGCATAATAAGTCCATGACCACAATCTCCAAACATAACAGCAAAAAGAAAAGGAAATGTGACCATTGTATAAGGAGCTGAAGTTTGTTTGAATTAAAATCTTTGAAAATTTGTTCTTGGAACAAAAAAGAGGCTACTACTAGCTCTTAACACTGAAAAAATAAAAATGATTATACCTGGATTAATTTCACGATAAGATGCTACACCGTATGCATCAACAATGTTCTGGAAACCACGAGTAAATTTATTCACTCTGTGATAAGTTGGAGGTGCTTCTGTTATATCTGACATACGATTGAGGATTGATGGCACTGTACTTCCTGATTCTTCCTAAAACAGTAATGACATACTGAGCATGTCTTCTTCTTAATGACTTGACTTTTTCTCTCCAAAACCTAATGAGATGCTAACAATAAATTTAAACCTAACCGTTCCTCGTTTCAAAGCCATTTGAATTCGGCTTAAATCAGCTACGGGACACCAACATTCAGCAATCAAACATTTTTGAGTCACGTCTAAGTTGAATAAATTTAACGTGTGATAAATAGACTTAATTTTACGCACTTTTGTTAGCCACATTCGAACATTTTTTGATGCAGCAACCTGAAAAGTCAAATAATTTTTCACGTTCATCGCTAATAATTTTGAAGTTTCGGCTATTTTAAAAGTTAAACAACAAGCATTAGAGAAACACCAACAACACTAACCAGAACACGGTGTCGATGATCTTGCGTTTGTCCTAAAACTGTTTTTAGATCTTCAATACGAGTCATAACTCCTATTGACATCTCTCGTCGTTCCTGCGGAGTATCTGGACAGGGATAAAGGGTTGCCCGAAAACTAAAATGATAAATACAAATACTTTGAATGAATACTAAGTAAAAAATAAATTGCCTTTTCAGGAGACAAACAACATACCCTTCACATATTTTTTTAACTCGAGTTTTCAACTGGTCCCCTTGGAAAAAAACAACAAATACTGTTTTGATAATCGGATCTCCCTTAAAAATTCCGCTTGCAGATAAAATAGATTCTGTGTACGAGTAAATAATAGAAAATACATTTTTTATTATTCAAAAATAAAAGTGAAAGTGACATTTGAGACTGTGAGTTACATTCTAAGTATCGCTTCAGATTGATTTACTGTGATAATTAATGATAAAAATAATGAGCACTAATACAATGAAGAAAAAATACGAAGTATTTGCTTACAGTTACGGCATCAATAACTGGTTCGGATATTTCAGACTGACGGAGGAAAACATTACCACGGCAAGCGCGCCATAGCAAGCGTTCAAACGCTGGAAGTCGTTCTCTCTGAATGACACCAGCAACAAAACTGAAAGTAAAGTACTTAATTTTGTCATAAATTATGTAATCTAAATGTAATTGCCATGGTACGATCTGAGCTCTTCTCAATTCTGTTTTTCAAAGCCAGTAAGCTTTACAATCTGAAGTTTCGAATCCTTTTCATAACTTAAATAATAATGCTTCAAAACAAAAATATTTCTGAATTAGCAAGCAAAAATCATACTTTTGCCACTTTAATATTCCATAAGTTTTATAAAAATAATGAATCAAAGCAGCACGAGTACAAATCCGACAATATCCATTTAAAAATAATTAAAATAAATCAAGAAGATTTTAGAAAAATTCAAAAGAAAAGGAAGTTAAACAAAGTGACACAAGGAAAAAAAAATCCGATTGTAGCAGAATAAATCGTTGATTAAATTTTGAAGCTGAACAACAAAACGATTATAACAAGAACATATACTGTTATTATCAATAACAACCTACGAGATAAATGATTTAAAGAAACTGTTTAATACGCTATAACAATTAACAGTACTTGTGTTTTCTGGTTTAAATTTCAATATTACTACCTGAGAATAATTGAATGAATATAAAAATGCTAGAAAAGAATTTACAGTTAATTTTATAAATAAGAAATTAGCAGTGTTTTAGTAAAATTATTCTAGGATGCCGAAAGCTAACTAAAGAAAAATGTTTACAAACTCGCCCTTTGCAGCAGAGATTCTAATAAAGTCTTTATTAATATCATTTTTGAAAATCAAAGTGAGACATGAATACGGAAAAATGACAAATAACCCATAGATTTAATATTTATGTAGAAAGCCTCTAATTTAAAATAAACAATTGATGGAAACAAAGTGTGAGGAGTGAAACATATCGGTTCAAAAACAAATGGTTTGATTTTGAAAAAAAGTGAAATGCAAAAACTACGTACAAATGAGAAAGAGACAAAAATATGCAAACAAGAGACCTACCCAAAATTAGCAAACATTTGCCCGGTGAGACCAGTACCAGGTAATTCGATGCCTATTCCCTCAGTTTCCTGCAGAACAATCTGCTCCGGAAGAGCGCAAACGGCCGGTGCATTAGGTCCCACAACTGTATCCGGTCCGCCCTAACAGAAGCAGCAAGAAATATTTGTTAACAAACAAAGTTCAATTTAATTCTGACTCAGCAAAACAATTTATTATTATAAAATATCTTCTCCTTCCAAGCATTATTGATTCAGTAATTTAAATTTTTAATACATCCTTTTGTCTTCGAACTCGGAAAGAACGATCTCTTACTTATGACAATTAGTCCATGCAAATCTCAATCTTTAGGTGCTTTTTCAAAAAGCAAGTTTAAAAAACAACGAAGCACTCATTTCAGAAAACAATAATGAGAAGCCAGTAGATCAACCTACACTGATACAAAATAAAAACAAACTAACGATTTGAAGCAAAATTTTTTTAAATAAACTGACTGAAAGTCTCAGAACACTTTTTCACAGAAAACTTTATGACTTAGATACATCGAATTTGGATTGATTTCGTGTGACGAATTTATTTAAATAAAATACCATTTATTAAAGGAAAACCGCTCTTAAAGCATTTTTTAAAAGCTAGTATCATACGTGATGTTAGTTTCATGCACACGATAACAAACAACACTACAACCAACTTTTTCATGCTTTTAATGATATAGGTTATACGAGAAGAACCCAGATTCCGCACAAAATAATCTGATAAAAAGTACATAATTAAAACATATATTTGATAAAAACAAACCTTTGTCATATAAATATTAAGCTTTTAGACAGATTTCTACTTACCCCAAACGAAGAGTCATTGCTGCACCTGGATAATCATTCAGAAGACGTTGTTCTTCTTCAGGCACAGAATGTCGCCGATGTTCATCTCGTCTCGAGTACGCCAACTTACCATGTTCCACCTGTATCGTTTACAAAACTCAGCTTTTTTTTTGAGGCACACAAACACATGAAATAATAAAAAGCAGTGTGTTTGAAAAACGTATCAACAGTGCAAATAAAGTTAATTTCTAAGCTTTCAGGGGGCAATACGAATGTAAATTAGTGAGATATGTTACTGGACAATATGATTTCCCATAAGAATACCATAATCATAATAAGAGTATTATAACAACAACAAAGCAAGCTTCATGCTCTCTTTACAGAGTTTCCAAAGAAAAGTGACTCAATGCTTCCAATACTAACCAAATATTTAGAATTATCAACAGTCGCGTAAAAATAGCTCAAAGTACAACAACCATTAGAACTAAAATGTCATATAATAAAATGGATATTACAAACGAAATAAAAAACTACATGCAAAACGAGATTCTTGCGATATTTCAAAAGTTAAAATATAGTTCTTTACGAACCAAAAATATCAAATATTTGAGACTTGATGTAGGATGAGCGAAAGATAAAAAGATAAAGTTAAGATTTCTTTAATGATAAAAGTGATTAAAAAAATGATTAATATAAAGCAAAATTAACAAACAGATATTTATAAAATTCCTGCATAAAATTTTGTTTGAACTAATTCGTCAAAAAGAATATTCAAATGACTAAATGGCTTTGAGAGAAATTAAAATTCAGATAAGGCTAACATAAATGGATAGCAAAATACAGAGCGAAACAATTATGGTATGATGAGAATTTAATGAAGTCCCAAAAAGTGCATGAAACAGTTCCACTATACAAACACCAGAAAAAACTACATTCCGTTCATTCAAAAGGAGGAACAGGAAATATTGTGAATTACTTAAGAACGAACTTAACGAGTTCGAAGAGTTCAGTTACCAAGCTTATCTATTTGAAAGATCCGATAATTCTTAATTGGAAATAACAAATTACAGCATTGCAGACTTTGAATTTTATCTATCTCAACCTTCTCAAAGAGTTTACCTTTTGCGATCCTTAAAATTTAATAATGAGAAAAAATTTTTCAAAACATATTCATTGAAGAGATTTATTCAATAGAATCAGTACAAAGCTTCAATTCAGAATGCTACAGCAATAAATAAGCTACGCTGAACTTTCAGTATGGGAAATGAATGCGTTTTGATTATTTTCATGTCTACTAAAGTAAATTGATTTGTATATTATAAATCAATTTCATCTTACTTTAGCAAACAGTCAGCATTTAACAATCAATAAACGGCCCTATCCTTTCTTCTTTGCTGGACACTTCTAATCAATAAATATAATAAATATATGCGAATATTAAATAAGGTAATGTCAAGAATAATAGAATGTACCTCATCAAAAAACTGCTGTGTTTTGCGAAGAATATGCTTTAGCTCTGTTAATTCCGAAAAATTTTTTTTCAACATTTCTTCATTTTGATTAACCTCCCGTAATTCATTTTCCAGCTTTTCAAATGTTGCCTGCAAAAGTCAAAGGAGATTCATTTACTTTTTAATTACTTAAAACTTTTTATTCGTATTTGATATGGCTCACTTCTAAATCGATCATTTCTTTCGGCTGCGGAGCATCTGGACTTTCACCCGTATCCAACATTGGTATAGAGTCTTTTTTGATTTCACGTTCCAAAAATCCTAAAAAATGAGAATGAAGTTTATTATACAATAGCTTATGTAAATGAACAGTATGGCGTGAAGTGATCGTATTTTACCACTTTATTTTATCATTACACTATGTTCAACATATAATAAAATTAATTTGTCACTAGGTTCAACATAATTTGAATGATAAAATAAAGTGGACTCTATGAATATTTGAAAAGATGGTGGAAAAATCAGTTAAAACCTAATGATAAATTTATGTGTAGAACTATTTCGCTAATAATTTAATTAACTCAAAGATTCGACACAAAATTGTATCTAACTCAAAGATTCGACACAAAATTGTATCCTAAAAAAGTGATCTTGCATGCAACAAAGTTTTGGACGAAAAAAAACAAACATACTTAATTTTCTCTCCATTTCATCGCATCGTCGTACTTCATTTACGAACTTTCGTTGGAAAGCGCTGACATCTGGATTCAGCTGCAAATAACTAGTCTGATGAAACATTATTTCGAAACGACTAAAAAAATTACTAGCAAATATTTGCAGAATCAATTCATAAGAAAATAAAACCAATTCAACTTACGTCACGGAATTGCACAAGACCTAATTCTCCAAGTTCTGCAACACACGTGTATGCAGCTTCGGTTTGTAAAAATAGCTGTGCTAAGCACATTTCTTCACTTCGATAAAGCGAACCCATAACAGAAGTACTTGAAACTTCTAAAATAATTTCCTTTAAAACTAAAATTAAGTACTAATGACTTTATAATGTTCAATTTCTTTATGATCATCGCAAAACACTTCATTTAAAATAATTTTAATAAAATATAATATCTAAAAGTACTACAAAAATTACATAACAATAGCAAGTTCAAATTTCTTACTTCAATCACTAAATTGCAAATGATAATCTAATAATAAAAATAACTAATACAAATATATTTTATTTATACTAAAATATGCAACGACATATAAATGTTTCAGAGAAGGTTAACAAATTTAAAGTTGTAAAATATGATCACAGCGCAATGCGTTAAAACGTGAAAAACAATAAAAAGACGATGACGCGAGGTGAGCATAATCTCTAGTTCGTTAAAATCCACGTTCCGCGTCTGACCACGTCAGCATGAAGTGACAAACCAGCAACTCGATGAAAATTTTATAAACCAACAACTGATCACCTTTTTCTATGTCTACATTGTGCTCTCATCGCTTCTTGCACTATTTCATACGTCTTGAAAGGTATACGTCATATCTCGTCTCGTTTGAAGTCAAATTCAACAAAAAATTCGTTTATAATTTCTATATTCCACGTTATGCTACTATATTTAATACACTTTGCTTCATTCGCTTGAAATTATTGAAAAAAGAGCACAAAAAACTGATGACATTTGACGATATGTAATGTTGCAATTAAATTGCAAACGCATTCTTTCTAGTAGTAATTTACGCGGAATAAAGAATAATAAATGTGAGATGATGTCATTGACTTGAAATTTGATCATAAAACGTGGAAAAATCAATATAATACTTGAAAAGTAAAAAAGCTCAGTATGTTTTGCAGATAATTGATTGAAAGAGAGCATAGCTAAGTCTAATGGATTGGTGACGGAGGCCTAAAAAGTTGTGCACAACTTTGATAGTCTTTCAGAGTACATTTTCATGCTGCCAATAAATGAAAGCTTTGTTTGCAGCTTTTTAGGCTTATGCATTCAGACTATTAAATTCAGGAAGTAAGTACACACACGCACACACGCATACACGCATACACGCACACACGCATACACGCAACACAATTCACACAAATACTTATTAACTTTTTCAGCCTCAAACGGATAAGCGAATTTGAAAGTAATCCGTAACTATTATCATTATTGCTCGCTTGTAATAGAATAATCATTAAATTGAAATTTAAAATTAATAAATTTGAATATTCAGTAAGTTAATTTCAAATATTATTGCATTCATTTTAGATTCAAATTTAAAATAAATCGTAATTTTGTTAACTTACAAGAGACAGAAAAAATTTTATTTACACTTCTGTTTTAAATAATTACTTTTAAAGCATCCTGTGTGATTACAACATAATATTTATGCCATCTAACTGCTTACCATTAATTTAAAATCTGATTTTTTAGCTAAGCTATTTGGTCTAATTACTTGTTTGCTGTTAATGTCAATAATCTTAAAATTTGATAAAAGTTTAGATTTGTGAGACATAACGAGATTAGATTGCAAGGAAATCTTTGAGGCCTTACTTCATCCTTAGACTTACTATTAAAGATCTGACCATTCGCTTTTGCTACTTCTTCAGCGTAGCAAATATATTTCAAAAAGTATTACCAAATTTATATTTTTTTACAATACTTGCACTACTCGTAGTAGAAAATACATTACAAGCAAAGAAATTTGATTTTTTCCATTTTTATTTACAGCAAATAAAGCTAATTGTAGTCTTTGTTACAATTAGAGAAAGTAAAATATCAAAAAATTTTATCTTTTAATAATTTTATTAATAGAAAACCAATTAAAAGTGAAGGACTTGGTCGAATTTTTTTTTTAATTGTATTCCATAAAAGCTGTAACAATTGTTTTGAATTGATTTAATCATGATAAATTTTCGATCTAATGTGAAAATTCAAAACAAATTGGCGGACAATTAAAAATCTTTCATTATTATTACTATCACTAGTATTACTATTACTAGTATTACTTACTGTTATTATTATTACTGTTATTATTATTATTATTATTATTATTATTATTGTTATTATTATTATTACCATTTAGACCTAGTACTATTTATATTTTTTACTAACAATAGAGCTTTATTAAAATATACCATCACTAGTATAACTATTACTAGTAATACTTATTGCTATTATTATTACTGTTATTATTATTATTATTGTTATTATTATTATTACCATTACTATTTATATTTTTAATAACAATAGAGCTTTATTAAAATATTTAAATTTCAAGAATAAATGATGAAACTTGGAGAGGAATAAACAACTGATTAATGTTTAGAACTTAAAATTCCCACTTATCTTAGCATATAGCCAAAACTAAATAAAACTTACGAGTGTTTTAAATTTACACTTTGGCATTTTATTATCACATTCATTTATGTAATGAGAGAAATAACTCAGTAAAGTTGGTTGTTCTTATCAGTTTCAAGCTTAATTGATCGTTTTTTATTGGAACGAAAATGAGATTTGAGTAAGTTTAAGTTTTTTGATAACTACTAATTTAGATATTGGTTCATGCTTAAGCATAATGCTTTAATATGAAAATTTCGAGTATTAGATTGTTAGTATTAGTTTTTCATTTGCATTTATAATCGCATTGTTAAAAATGGTAAATGTCTAAAAAATAGAAAATAATTATGATATATTTATTCTTTTTTCATTTCTAAATGCAATTCTTTGAAGGTTTAATTTAGGCAGCTATTTTTCTGAAAATAATAATTTTTTTTAAGTGGTGGTAATACATTGTAAAAATATTATGTATAATCTTTAATTTATCACTGATTGGTAATGTTTTTATCTATGGAACAGTTGTAGAAAAGAAAGTAAGCTTAAAAATTTTTGTTTTCAAGATTAATAGAGAGTTACTCGTGAAACTGATAGCAACATTGTAAGATAATGCTAGTTGTTATCTGATTTTAGTGCTTTTTTCCGTTCTCTGTTATTGTAATTTTTTAAATCTTTTAAAAATATAACCATATTTAATTAAGTATTAAATAAGAATTAAAAAATTTCATTACAATTATTTTTATAAGCAAGCATTACAATAAAATATCAGCAGAGACAAGTAATTTTCATTGGATCGCAAAGTATCAATTTCAGATTTTAGCATATTCCATTTGTTTCTGATTTCATTTTTGAGCACATAAAAAAATACTCGTACTTTTTTAAAATTTCTATTTTGTATTAATAATTCTCTTTTTTTTTGTTTTTTGTTGAAAATTAAAAAACATACACTACGGATATTGCTGAAAAATAAGTCTCTATAATGAATGGATAAAATGGAATTAAACAGCGGTTATTATTTTTATAAAAATTATTTAAAATTAAAACTAATCAGATAAAATATTTAGTAATCGTTAATTTTTTTAATTTTTAGCTAAAATCTGCATAATTATGAACAAAATGATATTTATCTTGAATAATTTTCTTTTTTTGTGAAATTATTGTATTTTTTTAAACACAAAAATAGTTGTTTCTATTTTTTTATTTTTTACAAGTTCATTCCTATATTTTTACTTGAAAAAAGTATGCAGATGATGCCAATTTAAGGTGGGGTCAATAGTGAGTATAAATTGGTTGCGACGCATATTAAAATGAGTGACAAAGTAAGTAAGCAGGTAAGTAAGTAAGTAAGTAAGTAAGTGAGTAAGTAAGTAAGTGAGTAAGTAAGTAAGTAACTCCAACAGCTGCTAAATCAGTGTTTTCTACGTTAAAATGATTTTGAAAGCAGTCGATCATCTTATTGTAAACTTCAATGTTTTCTTATTTAAACTTGACTGATAACAATAATCATTTTGCTAAAGCGTATAGAAGTTTATCAAATTTACTTTCGTTTTTGTTCAAATGTTTCATTCATTATTGATACTTGCTTGATTTTTCTAAATTTAGTAATTATTATTGTATTATTTTAAAAATTAATTCCATTTTGCCAAAAAATTTTATGTTAAAGTAAAAAAAAAACAATTACTTAATTTACTTGTTTGTAAATTTCAGTTTTGTATTAAATGATAACTTTGAAATTACAAGAAATGCTATGAATATTAAAAGGCTTATCTATTAAAAAGTATTATAAGACTTATTTGTTTGTAAAAAATTTATTCATACTGAAAGGTTAAGACTAAACTGCAACTTATTTATTTTGGAATTTTTTATCAAAAAATATAAATTTGAACTTAAACACTGCTATGAATATAATACTTTTTTAATCTAAAAATATTTAGTGAAACTTATTAGACCTTACTGGCATTTAAAACTGAATAAATAAATAAGTTTAATGTAAGTCAAACACATCTATAAAATATATACTTAGATCTATAATTCTGAATAGAAAGAAATGAAAAACTAAGAATTCAAAATGAAAGCAAAGATTTAAGTTTAAACTTGCTATTACATTTTTTGACAAAAAATTTCAAAATAAATAAGTTAAAGTTTAGTCTTAACTTTTTGATCTAAATTAATTTTTAACGAATAAATAAGCCTTTTAGTACTTTTTTAAATGTAAAATTCAAATATGCATGAAAATTATAAAATATTTTAAAATAAAAGTAATTATCAATTTTAATTTTTGTAATAACCTAAAACAAGTTACATTGACTATGCCCGATAATATAAATTATTCTAGATATATTATAAACTTAATATTATTTTTAATTTGCATTTAAAAGATTTTTTTCTACATAATGGACTTTATATTTTTAAATTTTTGAATTTGTTCATTTCAAGCTTTCTTTCTATTCATTAATTATCATTTAATGACAGTACAAGTAAGAAATTTATTCAAATTGAGGAATATTTAATTTTAAGCTTATTTGCAGAAGCAATTATTTTCGTCTCTAGTTGGCTAATTTAGCCTTTTTTTACTTTTTCGCTTTAAGTATTAATTTTGAAAGTTTGCTTATTTTCATTTATTTTTTTGTTGTAAATACTTTTGCATTTTATTCAGTCTTTTCTATTATTCTATTAGACTGATTGTTTGAGAATAATCGGAATTGCAATTGCCAATTCACACATTTCCAAGCTAAAATGCTGTCTATGATAATGCGTCGGAAGCAAACTCAGGATAGATGGAAACGAAAATGTACGTTTTTTAATAAATTTATTCTTTCAATTATTCATTCTCATTTTTTTGTAAACTCATTTATGCTTTTGCAAATTTATCCTTTTCAATTCATAATAATTTATTTCTCTTACTTAATTTCTTACTGTATTATTGAAAATTAATAACTTGACTAAGATAATTAATCATTAGCTTAGTAAAGTTAGTTTTGTTCAACTTTGAAGAGTAATAAATTAAAAAGAATACTTTAATATTTTAATAATTTGTTTTATAAAGTGAATATTTTTAGTTGTCAAACCAATCTATCTAATACAATTTAAAACATATTGAATATAAACTTTGCCTTTTTTTCAAGCATTTAAAACAACAATTTTTTCAAAAAATATTGTCATAAAAAATTTTTGATTAATAACATATTTTTTGATGCAGCTATTTGGTGAATTTATTTTAAAATCAAAAACTTACGATTAATCATTTCCTGTCTAATGTATCATTTTTATTTTTTAACTGCATTATTATAATTGTGCTTAATAAATAAGACTTATCAAATTAATTCTTTTTCCAGTTTAAATTTGTTTGAATTAAATAAAACGAATTGGAAATAACAAATTTTGCTACTGCCAATTTTAGTTAAAACAAATATTAAACTAATAAGCATAATTCAAGCATAATATGCTATAAGTGTATTTATTGCTACAAAGTTGGAGTAGTATTGGATTATGATATTTTCAGCAGCTATATTAAATTATGGTTGTGAATTGCTTTCATATTAAACTTTATCCTAATCTCATCTGACAATAAATTGATACTACAGCATTGCATTTTGAGAAATAAAGCTGATATCGTCGTAATTTTACTTCCAAATTGATATTTGTGTGAATTTTGTTGATAACGAAGTACTATTATTTAAGCAAAATGATTATTACTGTATAACAAAGTATAATTGAAATAAAATGATAATCATCAGATGTATTTAAGGAAACCAATAATAATAAAAATATTACTTTGGAGCAGATTTAGATGACATCATTCATTAATTAAATATATCATACAATTACAAAATTAATAAAATATCACGTTGATACTGTTACTGTAAAGTGACAGGCATATGCAATAATGAACCGAAAAAACACAAACAAAACAAAAATAAAAGTTAATATTACTTTTGTAAAAAAAAGACATTTGTTCATAAAATATTGCAAAATTTTTTGAGTAAATTCTTGAAATTATTTTGCATTACAAATATTTAAAGTTATTAAAAAATAGCATTTTATTTTTTTGTTTATTGCCTTTTTTATTACTTTACAATTTCGAATAGGCAAATATATTAACGTAAATGTATTTATACTTTATACACATGCATGTATTTTACTCATTTTTGGTACAAATAAATGTACAAAAAATAAATTCTGCGCAGAGATTAAACAAAATGTGAAGAAGAATTAAATGAGTACAAAAATAATGATATCTTTCTTACACTTTGAAGTGTTTCTTTCGTGTCACACTTTTATAATTTTTAACTTTACTGTCGAAGGAAAGAACTCTCGTCGAGAATTACTTTACTAAAATTTTTACAAAAAATAAAGTTGAGTTTTTTTAATAAAATATTTTTTAGGCATTAAAGTTATCATAATTTATTAATAAAATATATTATATACATTGAAATTATTATAAAATATTTTTTTCTTCTTATGCTTTTTAATATAAATAATAGACGTTGTGTGATAAATTTTACACGTCAAATACGTCTTGTACATTATATCATTTAAAAATACGTCCGCTTGCATTAAATATTGTTGATACGTAATGAAAGCCTTATGAAAAGGAAACTGAAAACAAAATAAAACCACGTCGTTACTTTTTGCTTTTATTTTTATCACAAACGCTAAGAATTCTAAATTTTGAGTTCACTTAAATTAATTACTAATTAAGCAGAATTTAAAGTCATCTTTTGAATGCTTAGTGAAAATTACTTATTTTTTTTAATACTTTTGACTTATTTTTGTTTAATATTTAAGCAACTGTTTTATAATTTTAGTTAATATCCGAAATTTTAGATTTTGATCAGTTTGAGCTTAAGGAATCTTTGAACAGAAATTAAAACTAACAAACCAATCCAGATTATTTTAACAATTTATGATATTACGAGCTGGAAAGAGATTAGTTTTATGAAAGTTAGACAGAAATACTTTCTGCGTACATTTGTTGAACAAATAACAGAGCTAAAAGCTACTTTTATTTATTTTCACAACAATTCTGATTTTATTTCAGTTCTTTTCATCAATTACTTTTAATTCTCGGTATTATTGTTTGACCAAAGTAATTTAAGTATAACTGTATTCGCTGATTTATCTCATTCCGTTTAGTTAATAGCCCAATCTTTGCAATAGTCTTTTAGCATTAAGTTTTTTTTGCTTTATATTCTAGTAATCAAAATTTAAAGTTTAAATTCAAGATTTGTAATTAGCTAGTATTTAAAAATATTTTTTAGAAAATACATTGAAGAAAGTATTAATTTGAAAAATTAAATCTTTGTTTTAATCGAACGAAATTTATATACTAAGTTAAAGTTAAAGTTAAAGCTGTAATAACCACCACTTCTTGTAATAATTTTGGGCTATTATTCTTTATTTTAATTTAATTTTTCTTAAATTACTCATTCTGCAATTTTTGGCTGACTATTTTTTATATCACAAATAATAATCTTTAAAAAAAGGAGATGAATTAGTTATAATAAATGCTGACAATTAGTTATAATCAGTGCTGTCAATAAACAAAAATTGTTTATGATTGATAAGTGAATAGAAGTGATGGCTTAAATTATTACAGTATAACATCTTGTAAAGCTGAAAATGAAGAAATTAATGCAAAGATTAAAGGTCAAATAAAGTTACTGAAATATTATCGAAATTATTTAAAACTTTGCAACTTTCTTAGTTTTAAATTAAAATTGAAAATTTGAAAATTTTTCTGAATCAAAAATTCAGCAGAAAACTTTGGCTACCAATTTGTTATCACTTGTTTGCTTTGTTTTTCGTCAATTTGAAATTTTTTTAAAAATTGCAGAAAATAAGCTTTAAAAGCTGCTAAAATATTTTGGCTTTAAAAGTAATTAGAATCATTAAAAATAACAAATTGAATAAATTTTTTGATGAATTTATCACTTTTTATCGCTATAATTTTCTGCAACGTGATAGTACCACGTGAAAAATGAAACTTTACACGTTTTTTATTTTCGAAAAGTATGAAAATTTGCAGTGGTTCATATTTTTACTCGTCATTTTTATCAAAGATCATCATAATCATGTTGTAATTCATATTATAATTATTCATACTCATCAGTATGAAATCAACAGTTTTAATAATAAGTAATGGTTTAATTAGAACACGTTGCATGAATGGCACTATCTTTATTATTTCCAATAATTTATTTATCATTTGATAAATTATTTAGAAGAACTATTAATTTCATACTTATCAACAACGGAAATTATCGCTGAACTAATTAATAAATTCTTATTTCGATCATAATCTTGTAAGTCGAATATAATGCAGAAAATTGATTTAGATTCTAAACAGCGGTAAATTGACACATATGTTTTGGTTAATTAATTAAGTAATATGCATATTTGATTTTGCAATTAATTAATTAATTAATATGCATATTAGAGATTTCCAATTTTTTTGCCATTGTTTTTTGAATTCTATAATAAATTATGCTTAAAAAACATTTCAGCAAATACAAATAGTATTTTGTAAATTGTTAAAATCAATTAGTAATCTTTTTCTTGCATTATTTTATACAAGTATTTGGTATTAATAGTGAATAAATAGAATATAAAATTCTAAATATGAATAATTTATTAATCTGTCAAATATTAACTGTGAAATGATTATTTCAATAGCTTTTATCTGTTAAAGCTAATTGATTGCAATAAATCAAAGTAAAATCATTCGAAAAAGTTTATAGAAACAGCTGTTGCATAAAACTAAAATTGTGCAAGAATTAATAAAAATTTACAAAAAAGAAATTGAACATTGTGGAAATTAATAAAAATCAGCGCTTTGCAACTTAAAATTTCGTCCTAATTTCCAATAACAATTGAAAATGTGTAATATTTTAAGAGTGAGAATTTAAAATTTCTTAAAACAAAGATTATTTTCGCACTGTTTTAGGCAATAAATTGAATTAAATTGGTTATCGCCGTAAATTTAAATTAAATTATTCTAATTTAAATCTACCTTTTAATGAAAGTTTTTATTGTTTGTTATTATTTTTGTATTTGCCAAAAACCATACTGTGTTTTTTATTGCGAAAAATTTTTGCACATTATATTATATTACGCTTTTCAATCGCTGTTTGTAATAATATATATATATTTTTTTTACGAAATAAAAACTTTTTTAGTTATTTTTTTAAGCAGTAATAACTATGAAAGTAGAAAATATTAGATGTCTTCAAGTATTGCATTATTACTTCTTATTCAAACTTTTTACAAATATGAAATACATTTTTTTTTGCAAAAATTTTGCACAATATATGAAAAGTTTTTCTTTTTGGTTTCTAAATTCTTTAATTTAAATATGAAAACAAGTTTTTAATGAATGCATATTAGTTTAGTAACAATTTTTTAAAGCATATTTTATTACTGACTGCGAAAAACATTTGTAATAGCATCTAAAATTTTTAAACTTTTCACTTACAAAAAGTTTAAAGCGTAAATTCAAATTTTTTATTTATTTTATGTTTATTAATCAAAATGAAAATAATAATAATTGATATAATTTTTTTCAGCATTAGCAGGGACCAAATCAACTCGTCAAGCATCACAGGAAGTGATGCTTGTGGAGCGTAGGCCTGGTCCTAGTAATTCCGGTTATGGTTCCGGTTCCGGTCCACTTTATGAAAATTTCAGAAGGACGGAAAGTGCCTCAAATGTTGTCAGATCAGTACCAAAGCATTCAAAGCGTTCTCGATCTGCTATTTTATCTTCAAGACCAAAATTAATTCGAAATAGTGAAGACTTTTCTATCGCTTTTAATAATATGCATAAAGAGTAAGTTATTAATTTTTAGATAATTTAATTTAATTAACCTTTTTTCACTTAATCACTACTTTAGATTTTATTTTTTTAATCTAATAATGAAAGTTTAACAAAAGTTCAAGTGATTTTACTCATTCAATAACAAAACGTGTTTGTTTTCCTAATTGGATAATGAATTAAATAACAATCATCTGTGGTTTGAAAAGTGTTAAATCTTTTGTATTTGCTTTTACAAAAAAGTGTTTGTATTGTGTTTGTTTGAAGTAATGAATAAAAAATAGATCGAAGGATAAATACTTGTACAAGTGAAAGTGAGAAAGTAAGGTTTATATTTGTTGATTTTTATTTTGAATAAAAAATAATGTAACAAACAAGTTTTAGATGAAAGTATAGAGGAAAGAAAAATGACAACTTTACAAGATTTTGAATCAAAATTAGTAATTAAAAAACTGAGAATAACTGAAAAAAGCACTCAAAATATTATGCATAAAAACAAAATTCTTTAAAAAAATGTTGCTATTGAAGTTAATAATTGAAAATTAGTATGCTAGTGATGGGAATGATCATATAGATCAATTTACGATACTAAAAATTATATAATTAGATTAATTATAATTGCAATTTTAAACTAATAAAGATAACTGTAATTTTTATATTCCGCAATGATACAACGATATCAGCGGCTGTTTGTGATATATAACTTATATTTTGTATTATATAAATAGGTCAAGAAAACAGAAAAATATTATAACTTTTATCACAAAATAACAAAATAAAAATAGAAAACATAGTTAAATAAGAAGTAAAACAGACAATTCTTCTCAATTTCAGTAGCAAAAATGTACATCAGAAGGAATTTTTTTTTATTCAAACGACCTCAATTTCATCTAATTCAAACATTCCTCTTCATTCTCAATATTTTTCGTGTTGTAAACGTTCTGTATTTAATTAAGACCACAATTACATTCCCTACTACTATTATTATTACTATTAATTCTTCCAATTTTTATTAATTTTTATCGTAAAAGCTTTTATATTCTTGAAATACAAAGGTATTTATTTATTTTGCATTGTTTTTTTTTGTTCACAAATTTTTTGTTGCAAATTAAAATTATAATTTTCAGCTTTGCAATAAGTCTTTTGGTTTTTTTCATTTAGTGCCAATAGTTTGTGAATTTCAAAAACTTTCTCATTTTATTAAAAATTTTTGAATAAAAAAAAAACGGTATTATTGCTGATTGAATTATCTTACTCTGAGTTAAATATATTTACGAAAAAACAAACCAACAAATAAATAAAAAGTTTAATTTCAGTATTATTCGGACAAAAGCGCCAATTGATATGAGGCCTCTGTCTATTCCGCCACCTGAAATTAAGCGTAATAGCCGAGCAGAATCATACTGTTACGCAGTTCTTGGAATCGCAACAATAATCGTTTTTGGTATTGCATTTACAATTTGGCTCACTTATGATTCTCTCGAAAAATTTGTTTCTGATTTTTTTAATTAGAAAGAATTGAATTATAAATCACTACTTACTAGAAATAACGATAGTAAATAAATTGTTGTACTATTTGACTTATATTAAAAATTGTTTGATATTCATTAAATTATAATTCATTTCATTTGAGCAAATCTTAAGTTCACTTCAATTTTATTTAATGAAACGAAAATTACGTCTTTGAAAGAAATGCTAAGATTTATACAGTGAATGTGAATGTTATAAGAAGCAATTCCTATAAGGAAATTCACTATTACACATTGTTTCATCTCATCAATAAGTATTACTTATAATCGCATAACTTTCTAAGAATCGATTCTTGATAAGTTAGTAGGGAAAGTATTGTGTTTATTAGAACAATTTTGAATTTTTGTTTGTGTTCTTTTATTAGCAATTGTAATGAAAAATTCAAAGAAACTCATTCCTACCAGTTTTGCGTCTGTTTTAATGTTTGACAATTGTGCAATGCTAAAATTAAACACTGGATTCATAGCATTTAGACGACATTTCCAAATTCAAATAAAATCTTTAAAACTTCAAGAGCAGAAGAGAGGTGTGAAAACTAAAACTGTAATTGACTTGAATTAAAATGTAATGATTTACTGCACTCAACAAATATATGCATTTTCTATTCGCACTATTCAAAAAGTCAGCATTACTTTTTTCAGTTGCCAACAAAATTAGCATAAATGCTATAAAATTTGATAATTTGATGTGATAATTCTGTTCTTTGTGCCTTGCACAATTTGATTTTGCTCATTTTTATTTATTTGTAACTGTGTAAAAAATGAATAAATAAATAAAGATAAATAAGTAAATTTTGATGGAAAGTTCAATAAACTTTTATTTTCAAATTTTCACAATGACATTTGGAAATTAGTTTCGCACATATTGCACCGACGTTATATCGTGTCACAATATTTCAGTTTTTTCCAGTCCTAAATATCAACTACTTTTTTTTAAAGGTGAAAATAAGAAAGCAAATAATGATAAACACATATTGAATGCATTCTTATAGATAGTAAACGAATACACATTAGACGTAGCGCTTAAAGTTAAAATTACCTGTAAGTCAATATATATATGTATATATATATATAAGATGAATTAATAACTTGAATCTAATGTCTGTAATCAAAATATTTCACGCGGTGCCAAAGTAACTTTTCAAGATTTCTCGTTCAACTCTTAACTTTTCCAAATTAGTCCGAGCAACAATGCTCTAATGTGAAACAAATTTTAGAATAGCAAGTTTGAAACATGAGTTACTTCACCAGAAATATTGAAAAAATTTGAAAAACTTTTTTTTTTTAAATTCAGCAGCTTGTTTTACTAAAAACACACAATACCGACAAGAAATCTTCTTTAAATGGATCTTAAATTAGTTAAATATTCTCGATAAGCAGGAAGAAGACGAACACCCAACCAGCAGGAATTGAAAATACACTTTCGACATTGATAAACATCAAATTTTTCACTGGTAGTCTGCCGTTCAATTTGTCGAATCAATCGATCAAAGCATTTTTTATCTTTGAGCGTAACTGAACCAGCCAAATTCTCGCCAGCATGCAAACCAAAACTTCTGAAAAATTTACGGCTAATAAGCTTTCTCCATATTTTAATTACTTGCAAGCAATTTACTGATATGAAATAGTCAATGAACCGACTAAAAAAAGTATAGAAAAAAGATCAACTAACTAATTCTGAAAAAAACAGCAAGAATTTTCTGTGCAACAAAAGCATCTCAAATTTATCTAATCTGCTACTAATATATGATCCCTTGAGAAATTTTTTGGGTTTCGGTAATTAAACACTATTTTAAAAAATATTTCAGGAATGCAGTACTAAATGCTTAACCCAACGCAGTTGCGCTCCGGAATCATTGTATAGAAATCCCAATATCCAGAACCAGAAGCTCTTCTACGATATAAATTGAACCAAGAAGTATCATGACGAATTTGTTGCGTCCCAATGCGATACCAACCGAGTGGTAATTTAGTATCTAATCCCTCTTCTTCTTCGAGATCCTTACCAAATGGAGTATGCGTTTGACAGGTTACCGTCCTATATCTCACTCGATGTTTATAGTTTTCAAAACTTCTCTCTGATTTGCAATCACTTTCTTTTTATGATATTTATTCATATCGCCTCAAGTAAGAAATCAAGGACCTCAAGCAAACTTTACTCCTTCTTTTGGTTGTAACTCCAAAATAATTTCAAAAAATGAAAGCTTATATTCAAATGCATACTGCAAAATATAGTAAATATATAAGTACTATAATTTGAAAAGTATTTCTCGCAGATGAAAACTAAAACGAAATCTCTGAAGTGAAGAGGACAAACCCACAGGTAATCTCATTTGTATTCCGATAATATGTGCAGTAAATATTCCTGAAATAAAATTTCGACAACTTCAATTTCGAGAAAACTTTTTTAAAAGTTTTATTAATTACATACAACAATAAGCATAAATTTATTATGGTTATTAAATGTATAATTCTCTTCATGTTTTGTTTGCTTTTGATGTTTCTGTGATAAACTCATCACTTATTTTATTTCACTGACTAAAATATCAAAACAGCCATAAAAATAAGTAAAATGAAATTTAAAAAGATTTACTCTTGCTAAATTTACTCCCACCAAAATTCATATTAAAATTAAATACAAAGCGATGTCATTACTGAAGTATTAGACAAATTTGAGCCCGTGAAACTTACTCTGCCCATGCCTGAACATATATCAAAGAAGTAATCAAGCCTTGTAGCCAACAGCAGCTTTTAACCATCATCGAACGCTTTAAATTATAATTATACAAACATTTACTTCGGGCATGATTTGACATCATTTACTAAAAAATTTATCAAAAAACAAGTTGTTTCAACAATTTTTTGTTACCATTTTTTCATATATTTTCGTTCATTTTTCAAGTAGGAAATTTTACGAGCAAAAAATTGCCATACAATTTTGGTAAAATCACAAAGTTGTTAAAAATCATTTTCATTACTTTTAATTTCAAAAGACAAACACGTAGTGAAATAATAACAAAGTATTTTCAACTTGATATAGTCAAATTTGTTTCGTTTTATCGCTACATGATAATTAAGCCAATTATTAGAATTTTCATTCTAATCTACAAAGAAACAAAAATATAAATTCATTTTCACACATTTATCATTTGCCCCATTATTATAATAACTATTTAAAAAATTACTGGTTATTTATGCAATTACTAACAAACAAGGAAATTTAACCTTTTCAAGATCAGTTCGATTTGAAATTTGTTGCATGGATAGATGGATGTTGAAGTTGAAATGAAAACCGGTTCAAGGCCGACATCTATGAGCAGTATCTGCTTGCTCTTTCCATCATTACCAGTTCTACACATTTCATTCTAACAACGGCTTTTAAAATATTTGAATTAATAAACCTTATTGCTTGCCTAATTGAAATCATTCATAATTAACTGACTGACCTGTTATTGCTGTCATCGTCCTATGCTGTAAATATTAGCACAATTTAGCAAATATGTACTTTATACATAATATTTCTTTGCAGAGCTGGTGATAGTACTTTGAATAATTGCTGCAACAAGTAATCCTCCCCCGAAATCTCTAGGATAGAGTAAGATTTCACTACATGCTGCCATCTATGAGATCATACTTAGAAACCTTCGAACACACATCCCTACTCCATCCAACATCATAACCAGTCTTAATATTCATCCTCTTCGCCTACCTGCAAGCACAAGTACAAAGCAATACATCACTAACCCTCCCCCAAGTTCAGTTGTTCAAGCTAGTTTATCTTCTACCGAACGCTATAAATCAGGCATCCCATATGTAATCAATCTATTGAAAAGTATGAGACACACAAAGCACAGTTATACAATAACGGAACAGGTTTTGCAAGTTGATTGGTTTGAGTATTTTCTCCTCACCAAGATCACTTTTTAACAATGCAGTCCAAGTCAAAAAAAGTTAACTATGACGAACCCATTTATAAGTGTCTAGTCAGTTGATGTATTAGCAAGAAAATATTTATGCAACTTAAAAAAATATTATCAAACTGTCAAGATAGAAAACATGCAGAATTTAGCATAAGGAAACATGTATGAATATATCATGCATAATATTGAAGAAACTCTTTCAGCCATCAAGTCGGGGAAATTCCAGAAAATGAAATGAAAATGCATGATATGAAAATATTAATTCATAAAAGGAAGAATTTTGAATCATGAGACCTTAAGACAAACAACTTGCATTACTCCATATTATTTGACGTATGTAAACAATGACTTCAAAACTGAGTTAATAATCATAAGTCAAAAAACTCAATACAAACTCAACCAGATTCATGCCCTTTTAAGCTTAGAGATGAATGAATGAATGAAGAAATGAATAAATTTGGGCGATATGAACTAAAAAAGAATATTTCATCAAGGTGAATATGATAGAAGTGAATTCTAAATTAGTAAGACTTATTTTCCAGTATGATCTTACTCCACAAAATGGGAACATCTCAGTGGAAAATTCAAAAATTGATCTAAAACTTGAGTCAATGCCAATTTGAACATCAAAAAATGAAAATTGGTAATTCTAACTTGCTGGCATAAAACGCATCATTTTGTAGAATGACAAGATTTCAAAAGTTAGCACAAACAAGGCCACATAACTAAATAAAGAAGCCACATTATGACATGAGAAAGTACTTTTTAATATCGTGAGATCTCAAAAAAAACTAAAAATTCAAGTGACGCTAGCAAAAATGTCACCAAGAAATACGAAGCACTGCAGAAAACTATTGTAAATGCTGGCATCACAAAGAATACGGAAATATCAAAAGCGATAAAAACAAAAATTGGTGTATTTGATTAAAAGCAATAAAAGCCGAAAACAACAAGTGATAAACCTGTACAAATTGCAAACTTGATAACTGTGCAAAATCGTTTAAAAAATCAAAAAAGAACAGGAACAAATGCAAATGAAAAGCAATCAAAATTAAGTAAATTTAGAACTTTAGATATAAAAAAAAATCAAGGTTTTTTGAGAGTTTTCTTAATCAAAGCCATTCGCTGTTTATGTGCCAACACATCGGCACTTTTACGAATGTTCTCTAAACCATTTGATCTTATTTCAGAACCGCATGATGGAAAAGTAGAACAGTTGAAGTATCGTCGCAGAACAAATTCGACGTCCTTTGTTTCAAGTTTTTCAGAACCACGATGTCGAGCAAGCTTACAAGATCGATCAATTACCTAACAAAAAAAAAACAAAATCCAGTTTCGAAGTAAAATAATTACAAAAAGCCAAAATTAAGTAAAATGCAATAGACCAAAAGTTCTTAAAATTTTTAAAAATACAGCGATCAATAACAAAAATGCCTGATCGACAAAATCCTCGACAAAATCACTCAGCATGACTTTCACAGAATCATCTAGAACTGAGGTAGGATCAATCTGTCGTATGAGATCATCCAAATGTGAAGATGAAATTAATGATGTTTCCGAAGATGCTGTTACTTGATTCGGCTGAAGATGAAGCTAACAGCATGACGAAATAATCAAAATTCTAAATCAAAGGACAGTTTTTAAGCAAAAATAGATTTAGAACCCAAATATGAACACATTTTCAAAAATAAAAGTTTAGTTACCATCTGCGCAGAAAAGGCTTCTACACTGGCTGTTTCAGAGAAAATCGGTTTCTTTTCTAAATTTGGTGAAGTATCTTCGTCAGTTCCATCTGATTTGATTTGAAAATAATAAGATTTTTTTATTTCGGAATCTTGGTCTGTATTCTGATCTATAGTATATATATATATATATACTATAGATCAGAATTTTATTTATATATTTATATGTGTACAAAAGATGAATATTATAATTTTATATGACGAAATAGAATACTACCATAATAAATCTTATAGTTACTTTCAGAAGTGTTCAAGAAAAATAAAAGGTATTGAGTTAAAATGAACTTTGTAAGAAAGCTGAAGGTTGCGACAGAGTACTTTCTGCACAAGAATGCTGCGAAAATGGTTTTATTGGAAATCGATTTCCTGTTATTGAAGGTAGTGCCGCATTCCTCGATGGCTAAAAAAAAATTTAAACATTTATTAACATTCTTAAACATTCTGAATTAAATTTAGCTTTTCAAACAAAAAAATCTATTTCGACACATATGCAATCTTCTCCGAAAAAAAGAATAACCCACAGCTACTCACCACTGTAGCTATGCGATGCTTTTGCAGCAGCTCACCCACTGACAAATTAGCATAGGCAGCTGAGTTATTTGAAGCAGCCTGTACTGTGATTGGTAAAGCCGTAACTAATGTTGCAGAAGTAATCGAGGTTGTTGGTGCCTGTTCATTAGACGACATAATTGTCTCTGTAAAACTAAATATTATTCCTCCAAACAATAAATGAACTCATAATTCAAAGATATTTTGGCATCTTATAAAGGAACCTTAGAACTCTAAAAAAACAAGCATAAATAGTAAAATTTTGTCACCACCAAACAAAAATTGAAAGTGAGCTTGAATTTATGTTTGACAAACATTTAAATTAATCACTATCTATTAAAGGCAAATGAATGACTTATTTACCAAATTTAAAGTTTTCAAAAAAATACCCAAAATCTGATGCAACGATTCTCATTTACTAACGCACAATTTTAGGTGATAAAACAAAACACTCGTACAGTTTTCAAATTTATCACTGTCCAGAATGTGACTTGGAAAAAACAAAAATTCTCTGAGGACAGTAACTATTTGCTCAATAAATGCGCAAACCTATCGCAGTATGAATATCATAACAAAAATCCACTGGACCGTATTTCCAGTACTTCATAGCAAATTATAATCATTTGATCCCTGCTGCATTTGCTTTTTTTTGTTTTGTTTAATATTTGAGAAATGCAATGAAAATAACAAATGGATGAACGGTAAAAGTAACCGAAACAACAGCAAGACAAGATTTTAATAAATTCAAAAAGTTTATTCCAAACTGATATGCAATATGCTAACAATACGTATGATCATAAAATACGAGATTCTTACTCAATTTAAATAACTCAACGACAATTATGAAAAAACAAACAGATAAAATGATAATTAAGTATGGACATGATCGAATTTAACTATGACTTTTCTGAAATGTAAAAACGAAGAAAGCTAATCTAAAATATAGAAATACTGAGAAAAAATTAAAAGTGAAATAAGCTAGAAAAATGTACAGTAAACGAAAGGTGTTCACCACTGCTCACATGTATTTTGGCATTCAAATTATAAATTATAGCCATAACAACAATACCTCCTATAAGATTAAGATGAACATCACTTTATTAATTCAGTAACTCCTTTTGTAAGATTCTTCCAATTTTGAGCGCTTTATAATTGAAAAATAGAAAACTATTCACAATTTTAATATCTGATGAGAGTAGAGTTTTGTTACATAAAGCATCTGATGTATAAAATCTAACACATGATTAAAAATTTGATATTTTACAGACAAATTTAAATAATTAGAAACTCGATATAGTAAAAATTAAATAGTATTGTTTCGTTCAACTATTATCAGTCAAAGACTCTGAGGTTTAATGATAAACCAGTTTATAAACATCTCACAATTTTATAAATGTATTAAAAACTTCAAACCATAATATTAAAAAAATTACAAGTAAGGATTTTCAAGAGATTATTAGGACTAAAGATGAACACTAAAACATTATGAATATAAAGACAAATACTTCTTGACTTCGGCTACAAGTTTTTTTAAGTCACAATGAGAACTCTCCACAGCATCTATACCAAATGATTTTTCGATAGATGAAATAACTGGTTGAATAGTCATTCGGATGTTGAGTTTTATCTATAATTTACAAAACTTGCAGTTGTACAGCGAAATTTATTACAACACAAGACAATTTGGGTAAAACATCAATGAGTAAAACTGAATGATTTATTGTCAAAACGCATTAATCTAAGAATAAAAATTTTTTCCCATCAACAGAAGCAAATTTTACAAAAACAAATAGTGTAATCAACAAAGCAAGGTCTTAAAATTTTTAATAATCAGCACTTACAGTAGATTTTTCTCCATTTTTCATTTTTGACAGCACTTCCATAGATTGCAGCAGTTTCTTGGCCGACTTCAAGACAGAAAGACAAGAAGCTTCATTTTTATACCAGTCCTGAAATCACACACTAATTTTCTGGCAGCGTTAATATTTCGAGAGCGAAAATTCTCAAATTTTATAAAAACAAACTACGTACTTGACACTGTAAATATCACACCTTTTTATTATAACAGCTCCTGAAAGAGCGTTCCAATAACTTTCCATAAACTTCATAATCAGCAATATTTGATTTCAAATTTGGTTGTTTCAAGTCTGCATAACATTCCCAAATCTGAAAAAAAAAGATAAAAAATTTTCAAAAAACACTTAAAAATGAAATGAAATTTACAATATTAAACTTCTACACATGTATGGCAGTTAATCACTGGTAATCAATTCAAAATGTAAATAACTAGTTCTAAAAATGAAACATATACGTCTGGAATTAAAAATACACTAAAAATATATTAGAAATTAACTTTACAGAGCATTTCAGAAACAATTAGGTGAACTGAGACAAGCAAACTGGAACGAACCACTGATGAGCAAGTTTGCTGCGAACTTATTTTGTCCAACAGTCCACACATCTCATCAATTAAAGATTTTGTAGAATACTCATCCTCCTAAAAATGAATCGAAAATAATATCTGAGTCTTTGATTTTTATCTCACAATATGAAGCAGACATTTGAAAAAGCATACTTACTTACATTAACAAAACGTGACTGGAAAAATTTAAACGTTAATTTTTGCCTTCCTCTCATTTAAAGTTTTTCATATTTGGGTGTTTTATTGTCTATAACGAAATAACTTTCTATATTAAAGAACTCCATAATCTTGCAAAAGAGAAAATTAAGTATAAAATTGATTGCATTTTCTCCTTGTTGCAGTGATATAGTAACGAATCTGCACCTCTTTGAGTGCAAGTAACATCTTGGTGATTGATATAAGAATCATTTCATCTTTGTATTGCTTATTAGAATCCAATAAAACATGATAAGAAGTGATTGCTGATGAAATATCATGTGTTCGAACGCAGAGAACCATGTAATTTTCTCGCAGCTTCGGACTATCAAAATTTAATTTCAGAGCTTCCTAAACGGAGATTAATTTGCACAAGAAAGTAATTATAATATATGGCTCTATTATTCGTTTATTTGCTTTTAATTAAAATTAAAAATTTGTGCTATGTCCTGATATGATTAACATGAAAATCTCTCTGCACCAATAAACTAATGTTTAAAATATCTAATAAATAGATTACCCTGCGTTTTAAATAATACTTTCTACTTAAAGTCATAAGACATTCTAGCAAGAAAAAAGAAAACAAAAGAGGGAATCTGATTCATCACATTAAATATATTGATATCACAAAGAAAAAGAAACATATGTTGCAATAGTAATGTAAGAATCATTTTCGGAAGGAAGCTTCATGACTACCAAAATTAAACCTTTAAAAGTCTTTTAGCCTTTTCTAGATCATTAAGTCGTTCATATGCAACAGCAAGATTATTCCAAGCTTGGAAATGAGCAGGCTCATAACGCACACATTCACGATTTGCTTTGGCACTTTCCTCCCATTTTTCAAGCTTAGAAGCACAACAACCCAAATTGAACCACACATTTGCCTAATAATGTTCAGTTTGTCAAAAGCACAATTTAAAAAAAATGAGAACTGCAAAACATAACACTATTTTTAGAACTAACAAAGAAAACATTGCAATAAGATAGATCACTACCAAAGCAAAATAAAATCCTGATCTGAAAATGAAGTATAAAATGAAAATATAAATTACATTTATAGGCTGGATCTCTAGACTTCGTTTTAAATGTGTAAATGACTTATCATAAATGTTACGATGAAGCATAAGCATTCCAAGTGATCGATGAGCTTGGAATGAGCGTCCATTTGAAACCTAAAGTTTGGTAATGATCAGAGACTTGAGCTTTGATCATTTTCCATAATTATATTTTCCAACGATTAACAAATTTGAGTGGTGAGAACAATGAATTCATACAGAATTAGTGAGAAATCCCTACCTCAATAGCTTTCTCATAAGCATTTTCATCATGAAGTATATCTCCTAGAAGACACCAGTAAGCTGGTCTCGTATTATCCTTTGCAAGTAGATCACGAACCAGTCGCTCCGCTTTTTCCAGCTGTCCAAGAGACTGATAACATTGGATAACAAGGTTCCAATTCTCTTGCTTTTCATAAATTGCTAAGGCTTCCTGCAAATTTAATAACAAAGCAATAAAGTCACAAAATCATTTTGTTTGGAAAAAATGTGATCATTTCATTAAAAGCATTTATAACTACTAGAAAAATCTTAGATGTGCCGTTACCACTCTAACTCATCGATTTGACAAAGCTTGAGGCATAATGAACTGATCTATATCAATTCAATCTAATGGAGTCTTTGTAAAAACATTTTTAAATAATATTTTCACCAAAAGAATCCTTATACCAATTATATACTCCTAAAAGAAAGTCCTGTATAAAAAAGATTCAAACAAGGAGATAGTAATATTTCGCATGTGAAATGCAACCAATGAAACAAAATTTACTGAAGTACATCCAATGGAACAGAGAAGCTCAGCATGAGCAGACTGAACATACCAAAATGGTTTCAGACCACTAGCTAACAGCAGCAACAAGCGTTTTTTGGAAATATCATCATCGACCTCAAAAAACAATAAAAGCACGATAACTTTTCACGTCAAATAACTTGTTTTTATTTAGTGGTATTGCTATCTTATGAAAATACAATTCTTGAGATAAAAATTATTTCATTATAAAATCTGCATATTTCCGCGCAAGCAAATCATTTAAAAATCACCTCATCTTCAGTGCCAACCATTAACTCTGAAAGTAATTCTAATTGCATACATGCACGTTGTACACGACGCGAGCGAGTTTTTTCGAATTCCGAGCGTTGTAATAGTGCACTAGCTTGAAGTGCCCAATTTCTGCGTTGAGCTATTACCTGTAAAGCACATAAACTGTAGATATAGAACCAGATGCAACCAGATATTAATTTGGACTTCAATGAACTTGCATTTATTTTAAAAAAGATCTTCCCATTACATTTGCAGACAAAAAGTATGTAAATGAAATTAGAATAAAGTACCTCATTGAGATATGAGCAACATTTTTCAATCACAGTGTCATCAGTGCTTTGAATTTTTTGTTCAAGTGCACAAGAAGCCAACACACATGCTAAACTAAGAGAAGAAAATTTTCCATTTGTGACAGAAGGATCACAGCTGTCAATACTCACAGTTTCCAACAAAGAATCGTCAGAAAGCAATATAGAACGAGGCAAAACACTTTCATTTTCTTCTGCATCTTGATTTAGATCACCGTTTTCTTTAACCTTAACAAAGAACCAACATTATAGAAATCAAATTGAATTTTGTATACCTTTTCTCTTGTTAGGAAGAGCGAAAAACAGGAGAGCTGAAAGCAATTCCACCTACTACAGCAATAAGTTGTGGTAAAACAGTTTGGAACTTTGTGCGTCTACCCATAGCTCCGACCATTTCCACTTTAATTTGAATTATATTCATAGCACTTTCCAAACAATTTTTAGCTTCACGCACTTGACCATACATTAAATGTGCATACATTCGTTCAATGTACGCCTCCGCTGCTATTGCCTTAGTGGTAGAGTCAATCTCGATGTCAACCTAAAAGTCCTTTTTTAGTTGAGCATTAAAAGTTAGTTTTAATGAAAAAAACTTTTAATTTTATTAACAAAAACTGTTTTACTCAGCCTTATCAACTGTAAAGAAAATTGTGTCACAGAGAATGATTTCCTGTGAACTTTAGCCAATTACTAGCATGTTTTTCAACCAAAAACAATAAAAATTGGTAAAACGACTTTTGCATTCTCAAATTATTTTCATACTTGGATTAGAACAAAGTAAAAAAGAAGAAGAGTTCAGAAATCATGTAGTTCACAATTAGATAAAAATAAAAACAAGATACAAATACCAAAGTATTCAAAATTTTCTTCAACTGAATTGCTGGGTCTTTCAGTAAATACTGCCAGAGTAAAACTAAACGACATGTGAGAAAACTTTTCTCAAACCCATTTTCCAGCCAACCAGAATTTTCCACAAGTATAGCTTTAGCCAACCACAAATAGAGTTTTGAACTTAATAAAGGAATGATTTCACACATCCTAATTTTCATATTATTTTGACATTTGGATGAATACGAACGATATGAATTCAAATTACTTGGAATATTCATTTCTTTTTTTGTTAATAATACAAAGAAATGTCAAAAATTATAACTGGCAACCTAAACTTTCCTAAATTTCTCCTAAAAGAACCTGTTAACATTGGTGAATTATGAAACCAAGCAATACACAATAAAATGTCATCTTACCGAGCGAATTTATATGGTAAATTGCAATCAAAAGAAAGATCATTTTCAATCTCATTTTCTGAAATACCATGATCATATTGTGATTTCTGTTCTGAAAAATTAAACTAAGTTTACACTAGTATTAAAATAATGTTTTAGATAACAATTACTAACACTACTTCTAATAAAATATTAGTTATTAATCTTAAACCTAAAGCAGCAGTGTTTTTTTCGAAATTTATACGTGAAAAATAATGTGAAGTATTCCTCGATTTTAAAACGCTAAACAAAACGCAAATTCAGAAATTCTTTTTTTTTAATTCATAACTTTACACTCTATAAAAATAAAAAGTATTTCAAGCAACTACCACTTACTATTTAATAATGAAAGACTAAATCATACACACCACAATTGCTTAAATACGTGTGAGAAATAAACATACTTGAAAATAAGTACGTTTGTTACCCACACGCATTTAAGTAATATGTATGATATGTAGCTTGAAAATATTATAATGCTCTGAAGCAATTTAAAAAAGTGTTACGTCTAAAAACACGATTTAGGGTTAAATAATTGTGGGTTTTACAATTCAGTGAAAAAATAATTTTTCAGAAAAAAGATATGACAGCAAAAAACTCAAATAATATGATAATAATTACCGATAATTCCAGCAAAATTGGCTAACATGAACTGATTCATGCAATCAGATGCCATAAATAAAAGTGAATGACCCGGAATTTCGGTCAACTTGTCCCTTACACAAGTTAAACTTTTTGATCTCATTAACACATCCATAATTAGTCGATTCACCATTTTCTAAAACTGTCTTTTATAAAATTTAAACAAAAATATCAGTTACTTACTAATGTAGGAGAAAACTACTGATTTATATTTTCCGTAACAAACAAAATCTTCCGAAAAAGCTTTGAAAATCTCAAAGTTACAGTCAATACAATAAATTACACGACCACAACAAATAATGAGATTTAAATTATGCAACTTTAGTAAAACTTTTTCAAAGTATTGTAACATGACTTATTCGAAACATTACTTCACAAGATTTCTGCTAAGCAATGAAGCAAAATTACGCATTGCGCAAAGATAAAATAAAATAAAAACTTGTCAAAGAACTGAATTTTACGAATTTCTGAATCATTTCTCCCTGTATTTGAACTCTCAAACCAGAACTATTAGTGTAATCAATTTACCCTACTATTATAGTCGCGATTTTCGCCCAGGACGCTGAAATTTTGGTTTGGGTGCAAAATGACAACAAACTGAAAGGTTTGAGAGCAATTTGCTAACAACCAAATCGCTTACCGTTTCATTTAAGCATACAGTGTGAGCTGCAGGGATAGGCAGCTTTGAATATTAGCAGCTACGGTAGTAGTGTTACAGTAGTTCTGACTTTAAAACAGTTGTTTGGGACTACATTATGGTGCTGAATTTCTTTCGAAAAAAAAAAAAGATTTGATGAAATTGATCAAAAATTCGATGAAACTTGAAAAGTATAAAATTACTGCCATTTCAAGCATATATAACTGTTAATGTGGATTTGTATCTTTTCAATGTGATGTTTTTTTAGCCAAAAAAATAAAGCAAATGTCTGAAAACAGAAATTATTATTATTGTAGATATATTTTAGAGTTAAAAATATTTTTTGCAGTTTGCGATAATATATACAGCAATCAATAACTGCTCTATGTATTAATTCAAATGTTCAGAAGAGAGCTGGAGTTCGACGACCGCTTCATTTAAATTATTTGAATAAATTTCATCTGAAACTAATCACTCACTAGTATGCAATTTTGTATTCTCATTCTGCAGTCACTTTAAATATTGCTTCTTTGCTGACCGGTTTTGTCTGTGGTAGTTGTGTTTTATTTCAAAAATTGTTCTTGGCTTATTTTTGATTAACATGTCTTATTCTCTCTGTATTTGAGTATAGTTAATTTTTTTTAATTTATTGTTTTTATTCTTCAACTATTTAAGTAAATTAGAACAAAAGTATTGATAGAGTAGTTAGTTCACGGGCTGATTACTGTACTGTAAAGACAAAAAAGTCACGCTGTTGGTTAATAAAAGTCTAAATTTTTTTAGATTGATAGTACGGTAAGCAAAAATTGACATATAACAAAAAAATGAACCGTTTTGGAAGTCCGTCTCAATCCACATCAGTAATAACTTCACTCAGTGGTCAGACTCCAATTAGTAGTGGTCACTCCCTTGGCCCGTCATCTGTACTTACAGGAACGGGACCAAGTTCAATTTTGGGATCAACTAGTATTATTGGTGGACCATCATCAACTCTTGGACCAGGTTCAATAATTATGGGAAACACTAGTGGTCCAACTTCTATCCTTAGTAATGTTAGTGGCGTTGGGCCTAGTTCAATACTTGCAAGTGCTGGGCCAAGCTCTGTTTTAGGTGGTAGCATTTTGGGACAGCATGGAGGACCAGGTATCATATTCGTTTTAAAAAAAACCAATCCTTATTTTGAATTTTATAATCGTCCACTTCTTGTAGTTTGCGAGATTTAATCGCGAATTCTTTCGTAATTTTATCAATAGTAGTGAATTTTTTTCAGGGTCAATACTTAATAGCCAAGGAGGCCCTAGTTCATTATTAAGTTACAGTGGGGAGCGAGGAGGACCATCCAGTGTAATGAATGTTGGCGGAAATCCGGGATCTGTCTTTCAGGTGATTATCGATCGATTACTATTGTATAAAGTTTTGACTAATACCAAAAAGTTGTCCTTGTATATGTTGACATTAAGGAGATGAATCCAGCCTCTGTTGGTCCAGGAAATCTCGCCGTACCGATGACACCCTTAGCTGGTGACAATTTTCAACCGGCATCAAATATCCCTATGGTTTCAACAAATCCACCACAGACTCCCGGTTCCCAGTTGGTTGATGTTCCTTCACCAGCGCTGCAAAATATAGTTTCAACTGTCAACTTAGGTTGGTATTCGAACAGTTCAATTTCTACTGTCGTATTTAAAATTGTGTCATATTTTTGATATGTTGATTACAGGAGTTCCACTAGATCTAAAGAAAATTGCGCTTCACGCTAGAAATGCCGAATACAATCCAAAACGTTTTGCTGCGGTTATAATGAGAATACGTGAACCTCGCACAACAGCCCTAATATTTTCGTCGGGAAAAATGGTTTGTACAGGTGCAAAATCTGAGGAATCAAGCAGGTAAGTATTATTCAGTTTATATAGTTTGATCATAATTGTTATTTCATTACTTTTGCAAAGCTATAAATTTTTTTAAAATTCCAGACTCGCTGCTCGAAAATATGCCAGGATAGTACAAAAGCTCGGTTTCAACGCTAAGTTTACAGAATTCAAAGTTAGTTGCTATGTATAGACTTTTGAGGACGAATATTTTTTGCATGTTTTGAAAGCTGAAAACAGGATTAGATAGCATTTATGGAAAAATTATTGCTATGTATGATAACTGAGAGATGTGTTTTCAAAATTCTAAATGAATAACTTTCGATAATATTTCTGTAAAAGTTGGAATATGATGTATTTCTTTCACTCAAAATTTTATTAAATTAGCTTTCTATCAAACTGAGCAGTTATTTAGGATTTTTGTAAATGCAGTTTGTTTTAGGTTCAGAACATGGTTGGTTCGTGCGATGTCCGTTTCCCTATACAGTTAGAAGGATTGTGTTTGACACATACTCAGTTTTCTACTTATGAACCAGAACTTTTCCCTGGTTTGATTTATCGAATGGTAAAACCAAGAGTAGTACTGCTCATATTTGTTAGTGGGAAAGTAAGTGTTTTTGTTATGGTAGTTATATATGCAGGACAAGTATTATATATATAATCTTTGGTTGTTGATTGCTGTTTGTTAAAGAAAATTGCAGTGTGGTTTTCTGGTGCAATTATTACTACTTTGTAAGTAACTTATTAAGAAGGGATATAATATACCAGCAACCGTATTTTCAAATAAAAGCATACTTCACATGTGCTACATTTTTTAGGTAGTTATAACAGGTGCAAAATATAAAAAAGACATCGATGATGCATTCAACCAAATTTATCCAATTTTGAAAGGCTTCAAGAAATGAAATTGTGTTCTATTATTGATATTATGGCCTATCATTAGTAGTAACAATACTACTATTGGCTGATACTTTGAACTTATGTTTCATTTGTGAGCTCAAATTAGCTGTCTGCTGTGTTGAGTTGAAGGATTTAAAATTTATTGGAAGAATCATTTGTTTGTCAGGTAAATTTATTCAATTTTTTTTGAAAAGTTACTCTGACTAAGCATTTGTATTAGGTAACCAAATTTTTTGCTGTTGGTTTAAATCTCCATGGTAAAATTAGTCTTGGATGTTTAATACTTTCAGTAGTTGCCTTATGTGGAAAAGATGAAAAATAATTCGGCATGAGCACTCCAGGTTCCCCAATATGAATTTTTCTTGAACATTTTCAAATGTGACATGCAATTCAATGTGCTATTCTTTGCAACTGTTGTATCTTCTTGTGCTTATATTTTTAAATTTCTGAAAAGATATTGTTAGTGTTCATGTATATATATTTATTGAATAGGATAATGAATTTAGTGTTTCATTCCATTATTGGAAGATATTTTGTCTGATTTCAATTAGATAAATTGTCATGCTCAAATCACTTGAAACCAAAATGTGGCAATAAAAACCAACTTATAAATAATTAAAGGGCTAGCATTTACGTTAAAGTCATAGAATTCTATGATAAGAAATGATACTAGTAAATTCGAGTTGCATATCCTGGTGTTAGAGGTTAACACTACTGGTAACGTATTGTGTAGTTAACTATCGACAAAATATCTGCCTTTACAGGGTCTCGTTATCATCAGTGTATTTCACTACGTCCCTATGACACATTCATTAGTACTTTTTATGTATTTGCACGAGACAGTTCTTATGAAGTGAGATCATCTCTCACCTAAAATCAGTTCCCATGATGCTTTCTAAAGGGGCTAACTTTGTATGTGATAATGCTGCTTTGCGTTCAGGTATGTTTGGTAGTTGCTTTGTAAGAGTTCGTGTTCATAAGAATAAATTGAAATACAAAATCGTTACATCCAATTTAAGGACACATACTTTTGTTCCTACATTATTGTGGTAATTAATCGGTTTGGGGTTTTCTAGTAGTAATAACTATTACTTTCAAATATAGATAACAATCAGACAATTAATTTTCATCAATTAGTGGATGGAGTTTCAAATGTAAGCATGTGAAAATAAAAAATGATTTAAATAAATGGTGGGTGGATGGGGTCGATTTCATTCTCGGCTTCATTAAGGATGATCTTCTTATAATCCATGTAGCGATATTTTTTTTGCAGCCCTTGTGCTCGGTATTTATGAGCAAGTATACGCGACTGAAACAGTGCGAGGGCCGCTAAGGAGAATACAACAGTATCGTGTTTGATTATACTGAAACAGTTCAACCCATATACAGGTAGTACGTTGAATGTCGGTATTTCATCGCAAATCTTGGCCAGGTTTTCAGGTACCTAAACTCTGATTCAACATGAAATAACTATAGAAGGATTCATTCATTATTGGTTTTACTGTTAGTTTTGTATATTCATTAGTTTTCGAAATATAATTTTGAATGGTAATTCAAAAAAAGCCGAAAATTCCCAGATGATGTAATTGAGAAATAAAAGTAAAATGATGGATCTACTTCAGAGCTTTCGTTCACAAATAACACTGAGTAGCCCCAATTTCTATAATCGGCAAGATCGTGCATAAATTGTGCATCGTTGCTGGGCAAACTGGCAAAATCATCGACAATTACTAAATCGTTCTGTACATGCTTCACCGTTACAGCTATACATAAGCCTTCTAATCTAATAGCATCAGGCAATATGTAAAACCATGTTTTTGGACCCCGTATTCCATTCGCGAAACTAAAATGACAATAAGAATAAATGCAGAATGCTTTCAAGACAATAAAATATCTGCCGTTACAGGGGTCTCGTTATTATCACCAGTGTATTTCACTATGCCTCTATGACAATATTAGTAAGATCAAACCCGCCAAGATGAAAATGTGGCGATCTGATAGAACCAGCATGATGTCTACCCGTTTTTTTTTGAGGCCATGGTTTATGTCCACCACCAGGCATTTCTTTTTTTGATAGCTGTTTAGTAATTGCCAGGTTTCGATAATTCTCTTGCCATGTAATATTTCGATGCAACAAATCAATTCTCGGCGTGGTTCGGAAGATACTTGGATGTAAACTGATCAGATTAACTCGAGATTCCTTAAAAACCTGAGGCAGTAAATGTCTACAACGCTACAAACATGCTTCTTATTCAGTAAGAAGATGAAATAGTCTTATTTGCTAGCTTTCAGAACAGCAATTAAATAAATGAAACAATCAAATACTGGACCTTTTTTTCTGTCAACGTCGTCACCCATGCTTGTGGAATCTCGATAAATGGATTCCCTCGGTTGATTTTCCAATGGGCTAATTCTTCGGAAGTCGTTGGGATTTCCTGAATACTTTGACAGAAGTTGTACACACTGTGACGGAAAATGCTCACCCCACCCAAGAACATTCTAGTTAACCGAGTTGGTGACATAGTACTACTGTGATGAACTTTCTCCGCAATTTCCAGCAACTGTGTACTGCACTTCTTTTTCAGTTGAATCTGTACCCGAAATTTGGTGCTGACAAAATTACGACACTCCTATTTCTATCAAATGAATCTGTAAGAAGCTTTGTGTTTACTATGTCACCAAAGAAATTAAAAACTCTCGAAAAAAATTCATAAGTGAAATCAGAAAATAGCAAATTTAATTTCTTTAGCTGAAACATTTTTGCTCTTAAATATATGAATTTTAAATCAATTAATCGCTGATTACTCTCATTATTATGAAGTAACAATTGAATTAAACAAAAAGGACATTTGAAGGAGAACTGATTTTATTTATGTACACAAAGAGACAATAACGAAACAGCAGTCACAACAAAATTCGTTAACTATACTGGTTGACAGATAAGAATACTGGCAGAATAAGGATTTTCAAAGAAAGTCACAATTTTTTTAAAGCCTGTTTACATCATTTCTGTTTTCAACTTGACTGACTGCAGAAAATTTTCATTTCAGAACATCCTCAACACGATTCTCAAGTCAAATTGGGATCCAAAAAACCCTGTATTTTAAAGTCATCTTCAAACAAATTAGCAGGCGGCTCTTTATCGTTAATAGCAATTGAGTATTCAGGATCTTTCATATTCCTGAACGTCCTTTGTCGTTTTTTATCCGGTTTGCCTCCATTTTCGTCGGTATCATCATCAGAAGTATCGTGGTCCTGTTGGAGATTATTTATGCAAAAGATTTTATTTTCATCATGACTTGAGTTTTGAGCAAATTTATTTAAGAGAAGCTATGGAAAAAGCGAAATAATAATTCTAAAAGCCAAGCTGATCCACTGAAGATTATGTTAAAAACTTTTCGGTGTAGAAGCATGCTTCCCTGTATGTCATAATCATCGATAAGCTTTTGGAAAACACAAAAATAACACATTAAAATCAATTTAGATCATTCTATATTTCACTATTCATGAAAGTAGAAGTATTTATTAAATACTGATTAAAATTTTCTGATATAGGTGAAAAAAGACTTGGTTTTTTCGAAACTCCTCTTCTTCTCTATGCTTTAAAAGGTCGCTTCCAAATTTCTGACTATATAGCTTCATAAAACACTGATTGTCGTTTTTCCAGCGTACAAACGACTCCATTCTCTGTATTCCTTTGTCAACAAAATTTGCTCGTTTGGCTACATCCAAATACCAGTGTCGTTGCAAAGTCTACGAAAAAATAAGAATAATATGTGACGCCACAAATCGTAAACATCCGATTGTTTTCTACAATTACACCTGATTGTCTATAAATATAGCATATTATACCTTTATTTCCCATAATGAACTATTCATGGCTCCACATTTTTGTAGATCCATTTCCTTTTCATCATAAGGATCAAAAGATGATGTTTCTGAAAACAGTTGCTATTTATACATCTGATTTATTGAGAACTGTATAACCATGACAGTTATTGGTAATACTATTACCATCATAAAAAGCATTATCACTTTTATTAAAAATAATAAACAAACATTATTTGATTTCTGTTTGACTCCCCGAAATCGGTAAACCACACCCAAAGAAATCAAAAAGTACCTGGATTCTCTCTGTGCACCAAGAATTCTACTTCTTTATGTCGTGTTATCAAATTCCTAATTAAGGCAAGCAAAGGTTCTTGACAAACGACCGGCGCTGAAAGAGTTAACCAAGATAAACGTTTCACAAATGCGGCGACAATATATGTCGGAAGATGCCTGAAATTCATGATCAGTTTGAAAAAGTTTTTCACATAAGCCAATTTTACAAAAAAAATTGATTAACAACAGTTTTCGATTTAATATAAAGAAACTCAGTAAACGAAAGTGAATGACGGTGCAAATCATAAATCTATCAAAACAATGATAATGACTAACGAAGATGAAAGAAAAGTATCCAAAAGAGCGAAGAATTTTTCACGATAATTCAAATAACATACTGACGGAGTTATTAATCCATAAGCACATTGATAAAAGTTCGGAAATTCGCTGAAAGAAACAAAAAATTCTGGTGAAAAAAAGTAAACAATTGATAAATATTCGAGTTTAAAATAGAAATTGAAATTTTTCATTAAATTATTCTACTTAACCACAAGTTAAGCATATTAATGAGTTCTAAGGACTTACAAATTATAATTGACTACTAATTTGAAGATACCAGCTAGAGAGAGTATCGAAAAGATTCCTCCCATTTGAAAAGTACGATATAAAAAGTCACCGACGAGAAAAGGATCCTTGAGCGAATCAATTACATGTTCACTCAAGTATGGGACCATTTTTTTCAACAGAGGTTTTGGAAACTATAAAAATTGAATCACTTATAAAAGTCGAAATAAGTTTGTGTCTTGTTTTCAAATTGTCTCGAATTTTATCATTCCTTATACTTGTGTGAATTTGATCAACATGATTAGAGTTCTTATAATGCAAATATTGAAAGTCTACATTAGAGCTAATTTTAGCTACCAAAAAACCAAATTTTTGAAATAAACACTGAAAATAAAATGGCTTCCAAAATTCACACCTTATGCTTTAAAAACTGCAGCCAAGCCTCCTGATAATGCTGTTTCGCTTTAGCAATTTTCCAGTGACGGCTTATAATATTAGCTGCAATCTGCGATCGTTAATAAGTCTTTAAAAACAGCAAAAGTTATTTGAAATGAGAACGTTGGATTAGCTAATTCAACAGAGAGCAAAAAATTATGAATCTTCCACCCTTTGTTTGGTAAAAAGCAGGAGACAGCTTTTTGGATGGCAGCAAAAGAAAACGCAGAAAATGATACACGTTCCAAAGTTCAGTTTCTTCATGTAAGTCCTGAAATATACAAAATTATATTAAATGAGAGAAAAAAATGAATCGTGTAAAGTTGTAGCAATAAAACATAAACTTACAGGTATTTTCGCAATAACTTTCTTCAAAACTAGAATATACAAATCCTTATGTCGAAAAAGATCAACAACCAGCTCTTTCATTCTTTTTGGTCCTATTTTTTCTGTACCAAATAATAAGTTTGCAAAACCCTAAAACTCTGCGATTATAAAAAATCAAAAGAAATTACGTTTGGTAACTCGCTACACTTTAATTTTCAAAATTTAGACATGCAATTAACAAACTGATTTTCCAAAATAATTTACATGAGACGTTAACTTACGCTGGAGTTCTTTTTAACGAGAAATTAAACAGAAAACCAAGCTGAGCACTTACAGAAAGAGCGCAATCTAAGACCTCAGTAAGAACTCTTTTGCCTTTTTCGTTGATGCGAAAAGCTTCTATTTTCATTAGTTCCTCAGCCAGATCCTGTAAATATTCATCCATACTTTCTCACTCTCAAAATACATTTACTAAAACATTAATTATATATCAGTTGACCTATTACTTGTGTTTTCTAAGAGTCATCAAAACGTACGGAGCAAGAATCGGTTTAAAACGAAATTAAATTACTTGCTGAAAGCTTGAAATTGAAAATTTAAGTTAGCTGTAAAATGAGTGAAACCACACATTATTAGTTTTCAGCACAAAATTAAGTTCAACAAATTAACACTCTTACACTGCTATGATCATTTCATTTGAAAAGCACTAATCTAAAATGATAAATAGAAACAATTTGTCATTATAAACAAATCACAACAAATTTAGGTTTTACTTACCTCTGGCAAAAATGATGCAAATCGCTCTTTCCAACATTCTATAACATCCTGTGAACCCATCTCGCCTACTTTTAATGAGTCTCAAGAATAAGTAGTTAAAGATTAGCTAGCTATTACTGAATTATGGAAGTAAACCCAGCTTAAAACGAACTTTCTTGTCCTAAAACATGAGTTGTTCTTGATCATGTTCTAATATTGAATCTCACAGAGAACCAAACTTTTTCATCGTGACCGAAAGTAATGAAAAAGATTCGATATGTTATGGAGCGTATTTTGAGTACGAAACATTGGCAGTTTGAACGGAAGTTAGATTCAGTAATTGGGACTGCTATTCCAGGGAAATGTTGATGTTTTAGAGTAATATCTCGTAGTTTTCTATGTTAGTTAGAGATAGAAAGGTTCTTACTGTATACGAAATAAATTAGTACAGTTTCAAATTTTCGGTACAAACATTACCTAAATTATTATTTTTCCGTAATACGAAGCGGTTTTTTCAACGTTTCCACTAGATAAATAATTTTTTAGTTCAGTTAAGATAGGCTTGTTTGTATGGTAGTCCATCAAATATTAAAGTCAAAATGTTAGAAAGGACGATTTGCATCGTTTTCTGAAAATTTTTACTGCTACTGAATACTGTTTAGCTGAAAGTTAGAAATTTTTGGTTCAAAAAAATCAAAATAAAACCTTTTGGAAGCATCATAATGTAAAAATATTTGTGTTGTTCCCAGGAAATGTTGACTTTTATTTAATCTGTAGAAAATTTTTGTTAAATAAAAGTAATGTTTTTTAAACATGAGTTTCTTAACTCGCAGTGTTGCTATATTATGTTGAAAATCTAATATTCGTCAAATTTTAGGAATGGAATACGATTTTATCACAGATAAACCAGTGCGAGTAGCAGTGCATCCGTTAGTAAGCAACCGACTTGCTATTGGATTCATGGATGGCTCAATTGTATTTTACACTTTCGACTCTTTATCTGCGAGTATTGAGGTTGTACTTTTGTTGCTGAGTATTCATTAATTTGGAGAATTATAATTCAGTCAATCAAAGAAATGTATGATGGAAAAATTCACTGTCATATGTTATACAGAATACATATTTCGCAATGAAGTTTGAAATTATATTAACTATGGTAAGATGAGTACTTTTTAAAAGCTGTTTTCAGTTTGTAGCATCTAAAAAATTGAAAAAAGCAGTGCGGGAAATTTCTTTCTCGAATGACGGTGTACAGCTGTTCGCAGTTTCTGAAAATCGTGCCCTCTGTGTATATGATGTTGAAGCTAATAAAAGGTTAGTAAAGGACAGTGGATAAAATTTATGAAGAAAAAAGTTGATTTAATTTGTAAGATTTGTTTTATTCGTATCTTTTCCGTGATTGGATTTTTTGCCAGTCGCATTTTTTTAGTCGCGTATTTATGCTTTAAAACTGTTGATCGATTTAACAAGTAGTTCACTAATTCAAAAGTTTTGTGATAGATTTCAACATTTTAAGGATTCGGTGTATTCAAAAAAGTCATGATAGTAAAGTAAATTCATTGCTTGTTTTACCGGCTTCATCTACAAAAGGTCAGCAAGTCGCAACTGGCGATGAATCTGGCGAAGTGATTTTTGCTCTAAAACTATTGCTTATAAATTTTGAAATAAATTAAAGTCGTGTCATTTTAAAATTTCGTTAACCTTTTCTATGTAAGAAGTAAAAATCACGCTTCTTTTTACTGTTCCCTCGGAAATTCTTGGGACTGTAATTAGTATTAAATACATTATTTTTTTTTTAAATCATGATAAATTTTTTTTAAGGCATTAAAAAATTTTTGTTTCATTTAAGATTAAGATGTGGGATTTGCGAGTAAAGGAGCCCGTAATAAATTGTTACAATGATCAAGAAGATGTTATAAATGATTTCAATATTGCTGAAAATGCTTTATTGGCGGCGAGTTCTGATGGCACTCTCGGAGCATACGATTTTCGAAAACGAAAAATAATGATGAGATCAGAATCTATGCACTGTGAACTATTGTCTTTAGCTGTCACGCCAAAGTAGGCCTTCATTAATTTAGGAAGTTTTGTTGAAATAAAAAACAAAAAACACTTATGTTAGCTACAGTTGTCAAATTTTAGTGTTTTAGTTATTGTTATGTTGGAAACGGCGACGGTTATTTAGAAGTATTCAAAACTAAAGAATATGGTAATCTGTTGGAAAGAATTAAAACAGATCATTCTCTCGGCATTGACTGTTTGCAAATTCTCAGACAGGGTGTTTTATTAACAGGTTCCAATGAAAGTAAGCGACTTAGGTGTGTATATTTATTTCACATCTTTAAAATTTGCCTTTAAAAATTATCTTTTTCATTATTTTTTGAAGGATCGGAAGAAATTTTGTCAAGAGTAATGAAGAGTTTTTTGCTACTCTCTGGTAGTCTTAAAATTGTTCGGTATTATTTTAGAATAACTCATTTAAATCCTCACAAAAATATGGGTGCCATTGGCGTACATGTTGGAGGTGTCCAGCAGCTATCGGTCACATCTGATAAAACATGGCTTATAAGTGTAGGATGGTTACAATCAACCGTTAAGTTTTGGTGCTTATCAGATATATTAACAAAGGTTAATCCTAGCAACTTTTATGACCATATTTAAATCTGCTTTTATTAACTGATTTTAATTTCTTTGTTTTCAGATACCAATACTGCGGTCGCATGACATTGCATGCAAAAGGATCAAAAAATCATCGTATTTCTTTCATGATCTTGTAAATGATGCTCAATTTTCGAGTTAATTTATTCCTTTACGTTTGATGCATTGTTTCATTTTATTGTTATATTTGCACTACATCAACAAATCGGCCTCTTGCAATAAAAAGTTCAAAGTGAATGCTTTTTGGAGTATTAATCAATGAACGAAAATCTCTAATATCTAAGCATATTTCATTTGCAAGAAGACGATTTGTTTTTGATGCAATGTAAATTTTTATCATTTTTTCATATCTCACTTTAGTGAGATATTTCATTCATATCTATGAAGAATACTAGTGGTTTTGAAAACTCATGTCGACGTGGCAAACTATGTATTCTATTGTAGATTATTATAAAAATGTATAGTAAACCATTAAAACGCGATCTTGGTTAGAAATTTTTATATACGTTCGTTTCATTGTTATCTTTTTGCGATTTCGCTGACTCTTCGTCACTTAAAATCATCGACAATCAGGTTGCTCAGTGAATGCTAATGATTTCAGATTGAGCGATGCAAGAAGAGAAACTGGCATGTTTAGCATGTGCTTCGAAGGAAAGTCTAAATATTTGTCCCAGATGTGGTCGAGCATATTGCTCAGTAAAGTGTTACCGATGCACTATGCATCAAAAGTGTTCTGAGTCGTTTTATCGTGAGTGTGTGGAGCGAGAAATTCGTTTCCAAAAAGGTAGCCATCAACAGCAATTGATAACTTTTGAACAATTCATGGATGAACAGCGTACAGAAAATATGAAGGAAATAAGTGTAAAAGGTAGTTTCATTTTTTCAGGAATCATTTATGATTGGCAATGAGATATTTATTACTTGTCAAAAAATTTTCGCTTTCCACATTCGCGATCTTCCTCATGCATTTGCGTTTTTATAATCGAGTTTTCAGTGATTTTGATTTGTTGGGAAGATCTTTGTGGTTCTTAAAAGCAAAAGGTGCTAGTTGTTAAACGGAAAAAAGCAATAAATAATTTGTTCAATTTTGATTCAAAAATTTTGGCATAAAGACAGCGTCAACTTAGGACAAATTGTTACATATCTTGAGAACAGTGTCCCATGTTTTTATTTTTTTCTCAATGAAGTTTTCGTATTTTCATCAGTCCGTAAATTTGTTATAAGTCATATTGTTTCTGCATTTTTTTCTTTTTTTTTTGTTGCATTCTCTCGTTTTACGTATCTAATGTAGTGTTTCGAACCAAAGTTAATGGTTGTTTCAGGTTGTTCAGAGCAAGAAATATTGGATTCAGATGATGAAAACGAAGATTACCTGGAAAAAGTCCAAAGCGAATGCCTTTCGGAGTATCAATCTGCTGAAGAACGAGAATTGGATAGGCAGCTGACAGTGCTTGGTATCGGAGTAGATAACGACAGTCTTTTGTCATCATTAACTGATGAGGAACAAAAATCATTCACTTTGTTTTATGAGCGATTATTAGAAGAAGAACTTGGTCTTGGTCGTTCAGTTTTTACAAAAAAGAAATGAAGATCCAGTAGAAGGTTGCTTAGTGTATTTATCAGAATACAAACTATTGTTTTGTAATGTGTGCATTGTCTAGTTTTACCGTATCACTGATCGATAATAGTGTTATCGCAATATACCATTATGTACGTTATGATTAGCTTACTCATTGTAATTTTGTTACGCTGTGATGATACAAATTTTAGATGTTAAAAAATAAAACTAAAACTGTTAATTTATAAAATTCCTGTATTATCCGAAAAGATCAATGTCGTTGTTATGCTCTCTTAAGATCAAATTTCATATACATCTGTGGCTCTGTTTAGAAGTTTGAGATTTATTCGTATTCTCTTGTAATATTTATTTGATGCAAATGACAAGCAGCAGTTCGTTACTAAATTTAAGTTAGAAATTCAGTTTTGAATTATATTGCAAGGTAAGTGAACTATATTGATGTTAGTAGTAAAGAGCATGGATAGTTATTGAAGTATTTATTACGCATAAAACTTTTTCAATGTCTCGATTTGTTCTAACAGTTTCTATGAAGCTTTGATTATAGTCTTTGGTTGTCTTTTTTTGATTCTGTATTGAGCGGTTTCAATTCTGTAGTTTTGGTCAATTCAAACTTTCTAAGCTGAAAATTTTCATTTTAAAAGGTTTTTCGTTGTAGTCTGTTGAAGCTGTTCGGTTATGAAGTGCCAGATTCTTTATTTTTTTGTATGAAATAATGCAGGTTTTGGATGAGAAAGTGTAAAACAGATAAAATTCAGTAGATATATCCTTTCTATCACAATGGATTATTGGTTGTTTTGTATAATTTTTTGTAAATTAAGTTATGGTGAGGTGTCCGCTCAGTTCTCACCAATTTCTTAGATATGTAAGCACGGCGATTAAAGCCGAAATTGTGGGTACTCATAAGGTGGAAAAGGTAATTCTCCGTCTTTGAGTTTTTCAGTTTTGTTTTGATTACAGGGAATTATAATTATCGATATCGAATGCATTATCTGCTATTTCTTATTTTCACTATTAATTTTGTTAAGAGGTTAAAAATTTCAAATAATAGTCAGTCTTGCAGTCCTGTTGCAGATAAGGGATGCTATTGAAAGGGAGTGCAGCCAGGAGAATAGCAGATTGTTTGCAGTGGTCTATATCAATAAACGACAGTTTAAAGTGTCAGAAAACGACCTCATAGTTCTGTATGATAATATTCCGTTAGATGTGGGAGACAAAATCAAATTAGAAAAGGTTCATTAAAAATTGGCTGAGAAACTCCATTCTAAATATAAGAGTGTAGAAGGTTTTTTTTGCGAGTCCTACATATATTACTCAAAAATATATAGTGTTCTTTCTACCATTTTTTTTCAAATAACAGTCATTCTCGCAGTCCTGTTGCAGATATTCTTTCTGCTATTCTTCCTTGAATTTTCTTGAACATTAGGATTTCTCAGCATATTTACCGCTAAAAAGGTGTACAAATTTAATTTGACGCGAAAATGTATTCCGAGCAAGTTGCATTCAATCATCAGTTCTGATATAAGTTTTGTATTTTCAGTAGTTGTTTCTTAGCTGCTGACTTGAAGATCCAATATTTAGATTCTGGCAGTTGGTGGAAAAAATTTTACTCTATTCGGTCGGCCACTTATACATTTTCCAGTTGTCACAGTAAATGCTACTGTAGTTGAAAAAACGACATCTTATCCAAATTTAAGATATTTGATGATTAATCATGCAAAAGTTCGAATAATGAACTGTAAGTTGTAATTATAGTTAGTTGAAAATATAAAGTACTTTAAATTGAAAAAAATTATTTCTAGCACTTTATCATTGTATTTTTTTTTTCAGGGATGAGTCGTGAGACAGCGATACTAAGAATTAACGATATAAAAGTAGACATGAGGGAGCAATGAATTTAATTACCCAGCTGTATCTATATTTTACTATGATATAAATCGTGCAGATAGGTAGCGTATTGTATAACAGAAGACAGTGAGTAAATTGATATTATTCAAGATTTAATTATTTGAGTGAGAACAGGTTTGTTAGGACGAAAATAATGCAATGTTAACTAGATTACTTATATGATATGAACAGAGATGTATTTTCACTAGTATTGTTGATAAATTTGAATAGATTGTAATGTACAATTATCTTTTGCGATAAGAAAAATTTGCGAGAAATAAAAAGATGTGAATATTTGTGGAAGTCACTAAACGCTGTAAAAAATGTGAATGCTGTTGGTAACGTTTTTGTCGTCATTTATTGGCGGCCATTACAATGAAAAAAGTGACCGAGGATGGAGAATTATGCGATATTCCTATAAAAGCGACCCAGTTGGCCTAATTGCAATATATTTGCTATCCTGACTTCTTTAGTAATACGCTTTTTTCTCTTGCTCCCTTACTGCATAACTAACTGTCAAATGACCTTTTACCAGCTATTAATGGTTTTATCGTTCTATCTATCACTTGTAAGTCATTCAATTTGTATGGAAGCTTTTGATTAAATTTAAAATGTCATACCACGTTTTTTCAGTATGGTCTCTCTCAAGTAAGATTTTTCCATGTTTATGCATAATTCTAGTAATGTAATCTGCCACTTCTTGCTTTACATGGTATTTTTGGTTTACATGGTATTTTTGGTCAAGATCATAAATGTTTTTAAGTTTATCAGTTATGCAACGTGAAAAAATTTTTAACATTTTGAAGTAGCTATATTTTACTGCATTATAAGAAAGGTATTTATTACAAAAAGATACTGTCCACTAATGTGATACATGTTATTTCGGATTATAAATATGAGTAATACTCAATTGGAACTCAGTTCTCAATTTATTCATGCCACTTACTGTAGACATTACTATTACTATTTAATAATAGCGCACTATTACTTTATTATGGCGATAATTAATTTGATTGACTATATTATTCATATTCATAATTGCTTATACAGTGTCAAATGAAATCAGTGCTGCCTAAATGTAAAATTGTTGACTAAATTGATGGATTTTTCTTCATAATGATTCGTTTTTGCTTATCAAAGTGATTGTTCAGAACTTTTAGAAGTAATGTTTGGCTAAAAAATTAAAGAAATTGTAGTAAATGTCAGTGGAAAGTGCAACATTAGGAACGATTGTTTGTTCTGGTGCAACGCTGTTAATTTGTTTGTTGGCAATAGCAGTGATACACAAAGATGTTACAAATATCTGGAATGAATTAGATTCTGAAATTGTCTCCTTTAAGGTTCAATCCATTTTCAAGTCACTTGTGATCTATAAGAAAATTCAGCTTTTTGTTTTTTATGCAGAGAAAAAGTGTTTACAAAAGTTCTTGTTGTTAGAATGATGTATGGTACAAAAGTAAGTTATTATTATTATGAATACCATCAGGTTAGAACAGACGATTTATGGAAGCAAATGATTAAACTTGGTGCGGGTACTCCATCAAATCGGTTACGTCGCCGTCAAGCAGGTTACAGTGCTTCCGATAAAAATAAGGATGGACCAAATTATAGTGATCTCCCATCTGCAAGTGCTGGTGACAGACCTCCTAATCCATATGATTTCAATCATCAGCAGTGTTAGTTGTGCTCTTTGAAACTTGAAGATACAACGTTATTTAATAGAAAAAACGTTTGGAAATATGAGAAAGAAAATGTATTCCCGATAGTACTTATTAATATTGAAAAAATGCAGTCCTGGAATTAAAGTACCATAAATTAAGCTGTTCCTGGATATGGAAATGAAAACCAGAAGCAGAGCATACAAAACCAATTAAAAGAAGCAACTTCGTCAATTAATTCCGACATTAATCCAGTGCGAAAAACTCCAGATACTGGTAATTTTGCATCATTTTCTCATGATGGAGGAACAGTACCTCAACCGGGACGACAATTCCCTCAATTTGGTGGTTCTGTTATACCACCAGGTTTTCCTAAAACTGGACAGTGTGGTACGTTCTTCCAGACCTATTTGAAGTTTCTTGAATAAATTTCTGACGAAAAAATTTCATCCCTTCCGTTTCTAATTTTATTATTTGATATAGTAATAAAACAGTTTTATCATCAACTACTATCATTTTTATAGAAATATATATATTTGAGAACATATGCATGGAGGTACTTTAATACTAGCTGATGAAAAAAAATACTACTTCGTTTGCGCTCCTAAACATTATAGTTTACAGTAAATCTGTGGAATCAAATATGCCAAAAACAATACTACAGAAGTAAATATTACAACCTCTATTATGAAAGTGATTTTGAATGATATATACTTAAACTTCAGTATGTAGCTTGGAAAATAATTGCCCACCGGGTCCTCCTGGGCCAAAAGGTGAAAATGGTATGAACGGCTTAGACGGTGTTCCTGGTAAAGATGGCTTAGATGGATTTGATGCTGAGGATATACAGCAAGAAGCACCATCTGGCTGTTTCCATTGTCCAGAAGGTCCAACTGGTCCACCAGGTCCTCTTGGTCGGCCAGGTATACGTGGTCAACGTGGGCCAAAAGGTACACCAGGCTTGCCAGGCCGTGACGGAAATCCAGGACCACCAGGTGATATAGGACCACCCGGGCCACCAGGTATTACTTCGTGATTTTTAAAATTTAATTGAAGGCACTTCATTCCCTCATTTCTAAATGATATTTGAATTTATAGGGCCAAATGGTAAGCCTGGTGAACCCGGAGAGAAAGGAGCTGATGCAGAAAAAGTTGTTGGTCGAAAAGGTAATCGTGGTCCACCTGGTGATCAAGGTCCTGAAGGTCCTCCTGGTGACAAAGGTAAGGATGCACCACCAGGAGAAATTGGTCCTGAAGGACCTCCTGGACAACCAGGTTTCCAAGGTCCGCAAGGGAATGATGGAGAAGAGGGTCCAGAAGGTGCACGTGGGAAACCTGGCCAAGACGCTGAAGTACGCTTTATGATTTTTTTTAACTGGAAAAAAACCTCGTCAATTTTTTTAAGCATATTTACTTTTAAGCATATTTATTCATCTTGTTAATTTTTAGCTAGCCGCTTTCTGAAAAAATATTTGCAAAGTAAGCCAAACGTATCGTATTTTAGTACTGTCCATGTCCACAACGTGAACACGATGGCAATAGCGTTAGTTTACTTCCTAGTATTGACCACAATAATGATCAAAAAGGTCGAGTAGAAGAAGTGCATTCAAAAAACGATGAAGAAATTGGACGATTTGGAAATGACAACTATGGAAATGCTGGTGATGACAGCAGAAGTTATAAAATAAAGCGCATATAATACTATCTGATTTACAATTTTACTCCATTTTAGATACTTTAATCAAATACAATTACTACACAGTCCTCTAACCTGTTCAAATGAAAGAGTATTTACCAAATAATTAGTCTATTCATCTACACCAATTACTGAATATTACACATCTACAAAATGTAAGATAGTGAGAATTGAATTTTACTGAAATGCGATGCTGTTAACGTTGAAAAATATAGCAATGAATTACAATGCAAATTATTCATCCGTTATCGAGATGATTCTCTTAGTAGAGATTAAGTACTCATTGAACAGCAAGTCAAAAACTGGAAAGCGGAAAATTTTAACACTAAATAAATGAATATTCAGCCCTTACTTCTAAACAAGCTTTAGTATTAACATGAACAAAATACTAACAAGTAATTTCGAAGTAATTCACATCCTCTTCCTTCACAAGAAGCTTCTCTACGTTCGTCGACTTTCACAGTTGAGAATGCTTAAACATCGATTCCTGACAATGGAAGTAACATAAAGAACAATGAAATTCTTACCATTCTTTACTTCCTACTTTTTATTGAAACAAAACGATGTAATCATAAGATCACATCAAGAAAAAGTACCCAAAATGGTTGATTATCTGATCAGAATTCAAGTTATGCGATACGTTAAAAAATCATTATACTTCAGCAGTTAATCTTGAGAAACATTCTTTTTTCACTTTTTCAATTTTATTTTCCTTCTAAACAAAGCACTACAACTAAAATGATGACAAAAGAACCAAACGAAAAAACATCCTACTTCCGACTTAAAATATGCCTTAGATCTGATTTACAAGTGATGCAACCATTTCAGCCAATCCAATGCTGTAATAAAGAAGTGAGGGATCAATGAATGAGTTAGTTTAATACAATACAAATGTTAATAAAAAGACATAGACAAGAAAGGAATTCATTACATACTGAGAACTATTTACTACTGCATCTAATAAAAGTTTGCAGATAACATGGTGATGAAGTTTGAGCAAATGTAGAAA